CTGTGGCTTAGCCTTGTGCCATTTTAGTCTGTCTGCCACAGCACCAGACGTTGTAAAGTGTTCAGTGGTGAATATGTAAACTGTTAGAATGAAGAATTACTTCTGGGTTATAAAAGTTATTTTTACCATCTAGCCTATATGTTCCATATGTTCCATTTCTATCCAAATTACTTTCCCACCTTTCAAAGTGGCATTATCAAGTCTTTTGGTTTTTTTTTTTTGTTTTGTTTTTGTTTTTTTGTTTTTTGTTTGTTTGGTTTTTCAAGACAGGGTTTCTCTGTGGCTTTGGAAGCTGTCCTGGAACTAGCTCTGTAGACCAGGCCGGTCTTGGACTCACAGAGATCTGCCTGTCTCTGCCTCCCAAGTATTATCAAGTTTTTCAACAGCTTTGCGATGTCATGAGCATCCTTTTCATTCTAAAATGAGTTTTGTCAATGACCTGTTGAATTGGTCTGATGGGTGTGTATTAACTTCTTCCCTCATCAGGATTCACGCACTGCTGGCTTTGAGCTCTCATTCTGTTCTTGGGTTGTCTTTTACTATTGAATGTTCAGAGTGCAATAATAATTTGGATACCAGCCCTCATTAGAAAAATTATTTGTAAATCTTTTTCCCACTCTGGGTTGTTTTCATTTCCTTGATGGTGTCTTTTACAGGACACATTTTAAAATTTTAATTATGTCAAATTCATTTTCTTTTTGTTTATTATTTTGGTATTATATTTGAGAAGCCACTACCTAATTAAGGATCATGAAGACTTTATTGTTTTCTCTAATATTTTTTTTAATTGTTATACTTAAGTCTTCCATCTATTTCATGTTAATATAGATCCATTTCCTTATTTTTACACATGACTATGGAATGTGGTATGGCTGTCCCTACACATTTGTTCAAAGGCTAAATCCATTCCTTCTAAATATGTCTATATATGTATGTGTATGTATTTTTCCTGCATGTAAGTAGCTATGAGGAAATTTAATTTTTAGTTACTGGTATGTATTATTATACTTAATTTATTAATTAAATTTCCTCATTATTGGAGGGGAGTGGGGGTAAGAAGGAATGCAAAGCAGAAGGCAGCTCCTATGTCCAGTAGCTAACGATCCTTGCCTCCCTTCCTCCTACTTCAGAGTACACTTAAAGACAGACAGCTCTCTTCATAGAACTTCAAAATTTGTTTTATAAGGACAAAAGTTTTCTTTCTTTCTTTCCTTTGTTTTTTTTTTTTTTTTTTTTTTTTTTAAGACCCGTGTTGAGTGTGTTTTGTGTATTTTGGAGGCCATTGAAAACCGCAGGTATCTTTTCTTGGGCTCTGTCTATCTGTCTGTCTATCTATCTTTCTATCTGAGACAGGGTACTTCACTGGCCTAGAACATGCCAAGTAGGTGAAGGTGGCTGGCTGTGAAGTTCCAGGTATCCTTCTGTCTCTACTTTCCCATCACTAGGATGACAAATGCACATAACCATGCCTGGTCTTGGAATCAAACTCTAGTCCTCCTGCTTGCAAAGCAGGCAGGCACTTTATCTACTGAGTCTCAAGCCATGTGGCCTTCCCTTCCTCAGGTCATATGTATCTTCTCTAATGTCTTTATTTTGAGCTCTTACGCCTTTGTGTTTTTGCTTAAAAGAAATTATGTGTGTTCAACCATTTGAAGCAAGAAATGCAATGCATCATGGTTGTTGGTTGTTTTGCCTGAGAAGTTCCTCAGAGATACTCTCACATTGTGTGTAGCCAGGATCTTCACTTATGCCACAGGAAAGAATTCAGGAGTTATAAAGCAGAACTGAGTTTACTAAGAAAAGGATACTACAAATCCAATATGTAGGTGTGGGCTTCTTAAGAGAGTCACATTTAGGTACCTTAACTCTCTCTCTCTCTCTCTCTCTCTTTCTCTCTCTCTCTCTCTCTCTCTCTCTCTCTCTCTCTCTCTCTCTGTGTGATGTGATTTTTGTGGCTTTTGAAGTTACACTGTTTAAATGATGCTATTGATATCTAAGTTTAAAAGATTAAGTAAAAATATTTTGGTGTACTTTTTTGTGGAATAGTGTTGAGGATTTACCTTGGAAAGTCTTATGCATGTTAGCTAGGTAGCTGCTTTGTGAAATGAACCACATCCCTGGATTTTTGTTTAAAGGATTTTTATCCAAAGGTGGCTTATGAGATAAGTGGTACATATTTACAGATAAGAAAGGAGCTGGATGGTCATGGCATACACCTTTAATCTCAGCACTCGGGAGGCAGAGGCAGGTGGATCTACGTGAGTTCAAGACCAGCCTGGTCTACAAGAGCTAGTTCCAGGACAGACTCCAAAGCTACACAGAGAAACCCTGATTTGAAAAACAAAAACAAAACAAGAGAAAGGAATGCTGTTAAGATAAAGACATAGGTTTAAAAAAAAAAAGTCAATGTAAGGAGTAGGTTTTTTCCGCCCGCTGCTGGTCTTGTCCTGCTGCCGCGCCAGCCCCAGTTAACACACCGAGACTCTGTATTTGATATAATGCTGTTGGCCAGCTTTCTTATTGGCCAACAGTGCTTTATTCATTAACCAGTATAAGAAACATATTTACAGAATGACATCTCCCATCAAGTCAAAGTAGTTTTTACTGTATAGTAAGAGGTAGGTCCAGGCGTGCATTTTGATTATAAATATGGTTCACACACCTGCTTGTAAGATTTTCTCACAAAAATACAGTTCAGAGATGAGAAAAGAATGGTAATAAAGTTAAACTTTGTCCTTTGGGACTTAAGGATGGTCATTAGTTTATCTATCATCTCTTTGTGCCCCCCTTTCCTGACCCCATTTTGTTTTGAGACAGTGTCTTTTGTACCCTAGCTGCTTATTAATTCTTGACTCTCAGCCAGCAAGAAAGGCAAAGCAGACTAGGAGGTGGTGAGGCATCCTTTGCCTTTCTGTCCTTTTCTTTACTCTTTCTATCCTGCTTATTTCATACCAATCTCAAGCTTTTGGTATGACAGGCTAGCTGTTTACCTATGAGCTATTATATATCAGTTCCCTTTCCCACTTTTGAGACAGTATCTTGCTATATTGTCAGGCCAGTTTTACCCACAGTCCTCCCACCTCATATCCCAAGTTCTGAGCTTATAGATCTGTGCCACCATGTCTGTCTGTAGGCATTCTTACAATATGGTTTCCAAAAGCAAAGAATTCTGTATTTGTGTCAATTCCATTTCAGTTTTTCGTTTCCAGTTAGAGAGTTCAGGCACTTGAAGCTCCTTGCTACATCATCATGGTGAGCATTCCATCACAGATCTGTAATGAGCCATTCAGCCCACCCTGCCACAACTGTATTTGAGAACGTCTCCCGAATTTACCAGGGAGGGACCACTAGGATCATCCAGCCTGTGTATGGGATCACAAAGGACAGGTGTGCCACAGAGAAGGGTGGCTGTGTGTTTGCATTCTTACCTCATTGCACAAGTCTTACCTTCCCATGTCTTGGCCAACTTTTGCTACTTTCCACCACCCTGCTGCAAGATAAAAAGTCCTTTCTCATTAGTTATGCATTTTGGTCATACACCCTGTTAGTATTGATAATTCACCACTGACCAGCCACTGTCATACTTTGAATCTCACCATTTATGTGTTGGCAGCCACTTAGGCTTCCCTTTCTGTAAGTTCTTTCTTCATTTTTTTGGTCCCTTTTGTTGTGAATTTCCTGTGGTGTCACTAAATGGAAGGCTCTTCTTTCATATTGTAGATATCTATCCTTTTTCAGTTCTAAATGCTGGATTTTTTTCCCTTGACTTTATTCCTCCTAATTCTGTTCATAGTCTTCTGTATTGGACAGAACACCTTAATTTTGTTGAAGTCAAATGCAGAAAACTTGTATTTTCAGGGTTTCTTTAAGATTCTTCTAACTTCTGGTGTTTTATACTTTAGAGTGTTATCCCAACACTGGTTTTTCAAACACTTTTATTTGTGGCTTTTTGAAGGCTTATCGTTAGTCTCCAATTGGGCCTGGTTGTTAACTTTGGCTGTTCTTAATGAGTTTTAAAAATGCAAGAAAATGGATGACAAACCTCCCCTTCTCTAAGCTCCTCCAGGATTGGCTTTTGACCCGGTTTCTATTGTATGAACCCTGTCTGCTCAGCTATTGCCAATTCAAAGAGACACTTGTCTCCCAAAGCTGTGTATTCAGTCTTCTTCCAAGGAATTTGGAATTAGGCCAGTCTTAGCTAGATTCTTGAAGTCTTAGCTAGTTTATTGAGGGAGTTGTAAATTGAGACATTTGGAATGACTATCTTCTACTGTGGTCACAAACTGGAAGAACTATCTGAAGAAAGAGTTTGAAGATGTGAACAAAGAAACAAAGGGAAAAAGTTGTGGTCCCATTGAGAGGAGAGAGTTTGAGTTGGAATGTGAAAGTAGCCAGCCTGAATCCTGATGGCTTTCCAGTTTCTGGTTCTGATCTCTCCTGAGGCTACATTACATTTACTTTTGTATTAGATAGGGGTGGCTAACCACTGTGACAGATAGACTCCAAAGTATATAATGTCCTTTACACAATAAAAGCTCACTTTTCACTTACACAGACAGGACAAGATGGCTGTAAGCAGGGTGGCAGCAGTAGAGGCCTGTGCTACATTTACTTAGGAACATGACTTTCAAGGTCTCCCTGGCTATTAGTATTCATCGTACATAAGGAAATGATCATGTATTTGAACCCATGGGAAGCTTTATAGGCCAAGTTCCTTTGGCTGAAACTCTGTCACATGGCCACATTTAACTCTACAGAAGGCTGGGAAATGTAGTTTATCTATGTACCCAGAAGGAAGAGGAAATGGGCTTAGTGAATAAGTAGAGATTACCACAACATGCTTTGTGTCTGTATGATACTTCTTTCTAATCAAATTCCTGTTACTTTTTCTGTAAGCATATTTGAATTGTTTCTGTTATTTGGATTTCAATGCATAAGATGTTTTTGCATTATCCATATTTAAAACAAAAGGGATAAAACTGAGTAATTAATTTTCTCAGGAAAATTGGGCCGGTTTCCACCTATGATGCATCACCACTCGACACCCTCAGATGGTCAGATGCCTCATTTCCAGAGGGCCCACCTTGCAGAGGCCTTCACAAAGGCCAAAGGAGCAGGTGGGGGTGCTGGAGGAGGGGGTAATGGAAGAGGCCTGATGGGCCAGATCATTCCAATCTATGGCTTTGGAATTTTTTTGTACATACTGTACATTCTGTTTAAGGTAAGTGGAATTGTTTTAGACATGTGTCAGAGAAAAAGCTAATGTCATTGTAATAAAAATCATCTCCAGTAAAACCCTGAAAAGGTCACACAGCCCTTTCAAAGCCATCATCTCTTTAAAAATCTTATCTCTTTGAACTAGTTAGAATTGCTGTCATCTCAGTTTTACAGATGAGAAATCTTAGCATGAATTTACAACTAAAATGTAAGGTCAGGGTTTAAACTTGGATCTTCTAGTTCATGATCCAATCAGCACCATAATTCAAAGGAAAAGAACAAAAGACTAGGCTTGAGAGGCTTGTTTGTAGGATGAAAACCAGGGTTTCCAAGTAGCCACTGTGAGGCCATATTTAATGGTACCAGGATATAAGATACTGTGTTTGATGTTACCTCTGTAATTCTCCCAAGACAAAACTGTCATATCTAGACACTAAGCCCAATATTTCCTGGTTCTGGGATGTTCTGCTGGGTCTTTTAAGGCAGACCCCCAATTTAGTTTTAACTCCGAGCAGGTTTTTGTAGGCTACAGGCTTGTTCTCTGTGAAGAGGTGTAGAATCTTTGCCTTATACTCATGCTTCTAGTAAAGTGAGGAGATGTTAGTTTCTTCTCACCTGGGAATTCTGCAGGCAACATGAGTTGAGTATGAGAATGTCCCCAGGTGCTACATATCACCTGTCGCTTAGATGACTGCACAGGTACAGCAGATGATTATAAAGAGACAGTGTTTTCTTTGTGCTTTGATTTTTGCTTTGATCATTTTTACCTTCTTGACTCTTTCAGTGGCTTTTAAAAAGACACTTCTCTACTGTTGATACCTGGTTTGATTTCTGACTTAATTTTTGTCTCCCAGCCTTTTTTGTTCTTTCATTTAACATGTGGTGTTCCATGACTTTGAGGTTCTGAGCTGCTGTTGATGTGCTGTACCTCCTTCATCCTCAGCTTTCAAAGGGGAAAACTGCAGAGACTCGCAACTGCTCCACTACCCCACCTGGGAACACCCACAGGAAGATTAGTAAGTGCTCCTTCCCTTGTGTTCAGTGTTACTGAGTTGGAGTGGAACACAGCCAGAGGGACAGTCTGTGGTTACGTCCCTAAAGCATTTCTCAAAAGTGCATGGATATGGGACCTTAAAGGGCTAATGCTGAAAAAAAAAGCACAGGACTGCTAGTTCTTTGGTACATGTTAGTGAATTAATGGTCAACATTTGGCTTAGTTACTTTTCACTTTCAGACTTCAAAATATTTGTAGCAAAAGTGTTTATTTCTCTGAGGAAAAGTGAGAGAGAAATTGCATCACTGTCACAGTCCAGTATTAGCTGTTGACACTTTGGAGTCTTGAAATGTGCTGTCATAATAGTTCCCATCTGAGTATTCTGTGCTGTCAGGGGAAATGAAATGTATATAGTGTAGTCCTTTCTCTAAGAATTTATAGATTAGAATGATGCCAGGAAATAGAATCTGTGGCATAAAGTGCTTGCTACACAAGCATGAAGACCTGAGATGGAAGCTCCAGGACTCATGTGAAAAGCCAGGATGGCTGTGCATGCCTGTAACTCTAACACTGGGGAGCCTTAGGTTTCCCTGGCCGGCCAGCCTAGCCAACATAGTGAGCTTCTCGTTTGCTGTGAGACCCTATTTCAAGGGAATAAGGGAGAGAGTGACAGAGGAGGATACTTCTGCACACTAACTTGCATGGGTTGCACACACACATATACTTCACACAGGAAAAAAATAACTTGTGAGAAGGCACTACCTAGAAAGAGAGGACTTGTCAAAGGCATTATGGAATCATGTCTGAATTTCTTGAGTAAAACTTATGGAAAACATGAACTCCTGAGCTTGTTGAGGGCTGGATGGTGTTCATGGGCAGCAGCTGTGGAAAGGGTCTTACTGTGGAGTCCAAACTCACAGAGGTCTGCTTGCCTCTGCCTCTTGAGTACTAGGATTAAAGGTCTGTTCCACCTGACCGTCAAAGGTTTTCTTGTTTGCTTTTACATTTATTTTTAAAGTTTTCAAATTAAAAGACATTTTCCTCATCAAAAGTTTTTAAAAGAAAGGCATCAGTAGAATGAAATGAATGTGAGCCACAGAAGCATCTGCCCTAGGAATTATTTGTGTATTCCCTGTTGTGTTAAATCCTCAGTCACATTCCATTTCCTTTTGGAAATCTTAAATAGTCAAGAATCTAAAAGTTGCTATGTCCAATCATGAGGTAATAATGGTACATATATCAGCAATTAAAAGAAATTGTAGACAGTAGGAAGTCTTGAACTGATGAGAGGATTCAGTGGGTGAAAATGCTTGCTGAGTTTTATCTCCAGAACCCATGTGAAAAGACAAGATGTGGTATGCTTCTTAATTCTAGCATTCCTTTACTGACATGGGAGGCAGAGACAGGAGAATTGTCCAGAAGCTTGCAGGCCAGTTAGCCTTGAGTATGAAGTGCACCAGAAATGAGAGATACCCTGCCTTAGTAGAGTGGAAGGTCAGAACGAACACACACACACACACATACACACACACAGGCGTGTACACATATACTCAACACATACACAAAACACAAAGGTAAATAAAAACAAACCAAAACATACACTCTAGTAATAAATAAAATGAAAAAAGAAAGACTGTTAAAACTATCTCTTGTCAGAGACAGAAAGATGTTATGTCAAATGGACTCCTAAGACTGCTTTTTATAACAATAACAATAGCAGTGAATCAGCTTTATCCTTTACATAGAAATCATGCAAAAATAACTACATCTAGGGGACAAAGTTACACCCTAAAGCAGTCTATTCTTTATCCTAGACAGCAAGGGCATGGAGGTCTCAACCATAGTTCAGGATTTCCTTTTGAAGAAACGTAACAATGACTCTTCCAGACCTTAAGTATAGGCAAACAGTGCTCACCTCAGAGTCCTGATCCTTTTTCTAGTACTGTCTATGCTTGGTGCCTTACCCAGAAGCACTGTTTGGATCACAACCAGTCATCTGCTACCTTCATTTATTATGGGGTGACTTTGCAGGGTGTGTTTTCAGTGTTGGATGTTTTCTTTAGTTGGCTCTACTGGGTTACTCTGTGGAGGAGAGAGGGATTTATTTATCATTCCCTAAGTGAGTATGTGTCCTGTTGATCCTGGTTGCCAGACCTCCAAGCCTTTTCTGTGCTGACTGTATTAGTTAGAGAAGCTCATGTCTATTCTCTTGAGTCTCTGAAGAAGCCTAGATTATCACAGATCATTTCTGCTAGCCGTTTCTTGGAAGGGTTTAGGGAATCGCATATAATGGTTCTTAGATTGGTGCTTGTTTTTCAGCCAACTTTGAGCTTGTTCAACTGCAAGAAAAACTAAAAGAGACAGAAGAAGCCATGGAAAAATTAATCAATAGAGTGGGACCTAATGGTGAGAGGTAAGTTTTCTTTTTTCCCTTTTGTTTGTTTGTTTGTTTTTGAGGCAGGGTTTCTTTGTGTAGCCCTGGCTGTCCTAAGACTAGCTCTGTAGACTAGACTGGACTTGAACTCACTGAGATCTGACTGCCTTTGCCTCTGAGTGGAAGAAATGGGGCATTGTGATGGCTCATCACATAAAGATTCTTTTTTTGGTTTGTTTTTGTTTTTTAGAGACAGGGTTTCTTTGTGTAGCTCTGGCTCTCCTGGAACTCACTCTACAGACCAGAATGGACTCAAACTCACAAAGATCCTCCTGCCTCTGCCTCCCAAGTGCTGGGATTAAAGGTGCATGCTGCCATGCCTGGCTTGAGAGGTAAGTTTTCATCAAATAGTACTTAGACTACATGCTTTGCTTTTGATGTTTAGACTACATGTTTGTCTTATGTAATTGTCAGCTTAGGTGTAATATATGAATATATGTATTCTTTCTCAATTGACATTTCCATTTTCATATTATTGAGAAACCTCTTTTCAAGCATTAAATGTAGTACAAATTATTGTGAGAGTTTGTGAAAGTTGTAAATCTTGTAGAGTCAAATTACCTTTTTTTTTTTTTTTCCTTTTTTCTTCAGAGACTTGCCTCCAAAGGAAAACTAATTAGATAAGAACATGGAAGGGGGAAAAAAAAAAAAGATACAAAGATGCCTGAAGATTTATAGTACTTTCTAGGAGATTCTGGCATTAACTAAGATAAAACACAGAAGAAAAGAAAGAAGATAAGAGATTTTGAGATAGTGGACATGGACTGAACTATGAATATGGTTGGGATGCTGTCAGAATATCTACATAAAATATGTAACAGCAAGAGGACTATGTGTTGTTGGTGCTAAGATTAAGGTCATGATGTAGGAAGAGATCACCAAATCTTTGAGGCCATCATGTTCTGTTGTTAGTTAGCCTTGGTCTTTCCTTTCTGTTTTGTTCTCTCTATATTTATATATTTAACTCTTGGCTTTGGGCTTGATGATTCCTTTGGTTAAAAGTCAGATGACATCATTTTTACACCTGTGATCATATAGCATTTTGGAATTTGCCATAAATAACCTATTATCTTGCTCTGCTTGTCCATGTAGCTTCTCATGATTCTTGGCCATGTGGATCCCCATTTTGAGGGATTGAATTTAAGAGTAATTTAAAATTTAATGTGATGACAAGGCCCCAAGTAGAGATGCTGAGGAAATAATTGGTCAACATGGACATCTGGGTAAAAAGTAAAGACTAAAGATAGGGTTAGGACATCTTTTCTTTAGGGTAATGGCTTAATTTGCGATCCTGGGTTATCCTTTCTGGAGTGTGACTGTAAGAATGGAGACTTGGGAGTCCTTTCATGATGGCCGGGCTTTGGTATGTGGACAGAGTGGGTCAAGGTCAGAACTAAAAGAAATGGTTAGAGAAGTGAGAGGGATGCAGGTGTGTTCCTGGCTAAAGCAGAGAGTTTCAGAAGGATGCTTTGTAGTAAGAAGAATCACAATGAACAAACTGGAAGATAAGACTCCTGGACTCAGGAGTAAAACAGTCACTGATGGTTTTTGTTAAGTTTTGGTAAATGATAGAATGAAGACCACAATTCAGAGTGGTAGAAGAAAACAAATAGTGAGAACCAGCCAGATGGGTGTGTAGGCATTCAGAATGATGAGTCTGTGGCCGTGCTGTCATGAACATGTCTGACTGCCCTTCGGCATTTTCAAGGCAGGCTGAGACAGTAAGAATTCCATTAAGTGTTCATTGTAGTAAATCCTGAAGATATGATCATGTGTGTCCTGCACTCAGTAGCAGAGACACACATTTTCAAAGTTAAAAGGATGTTTTACTTTGAAATTTTATCTGTTCTATTTTAAAGGTTTCCATTTTCCAGGAGTTAGGAAGCAGAGGCTCAATTTTGTCTCGTTTAGTAAGTGTCAGAATACTCCATGTACAGTTAGAGAAATGATCTGTAAAAGCTGTTAGATAGAGCTTTGTCCTATTCTGCCCTTAAATTCTCCCACAAAATGGGTCATTTTCATTAGAGGAAGTTGGAGAACTGAGCTAATATTGTTTCTTTCCCAGTGAGGATGGTGGAAGTAGCACACCCTCCTTTTCCACAGTTACAATTTATTTATTTATTTATTTATTTAATTAATTTGCATTGCTATTTTGCCTGCATGCATGTCTGTGTGAGAGTGTCAGATCTTGGAGTTACAGACATTTGTTAGCTGCCATGTGGGTGCTGGGAATTGAGCCTAGGTCCTCTGGAAGAACAGTCAGTAGTCTTCATCGCTGAGCCATCTCTCCAGTCCCCCTCAGTTACAATCTTAATGTTTGAAGGAGAAGCCTCTTTTTCATGTTAGGTCAAGTTTGTTAGGTTGTTTTCCTCTCAGGTGTGTCGTTATGCTCAAGCCTTGTGCTGTTCTTGCAGGTATTTGCCCAGAGCCACTGCTAAATTGGCCGTCAGATGAGATCTTCTAAACTGTAGAAGTTGAGTACTGTCGTGGGACATGGGCTCATTGGTAGTGTTTGCTTATTGGATGGAGTTCTAAAAGAAAGGAGAGGAGAGGAAGTGGGAAAGGAGAAATGGAAAAAGAAAAGGTACAAACGAACCATCATGCATAGATTTCAGTTTGTGGATCTCAGTTCCTCTGTTTCTCTACCTACATGGTGGAATGTTCGGAGTTACATATCTCTAAGAATCGGCCTCATGATCCCAGTCCAGTATTTTTCTGTGGTTGGGACTATTAGCCTAGAATATTTGCCATCATTGCTTCAGAGACAGTGTCTCAGAGTAAAGGGAATAAATATATGAGTTTGAGGGAAATTGCAGGAGGCTGGGGACTCAGACTGGTGTATAGCTGAGACCACTGGGGTCTTGTTTCCATGTCAGCACATCATGGACTCAAGCAGTCATTGAAGAATTCTGGAGACTAGGTTCCCGTTTATAAAACCATGACGTGGAACTAACATCCCTGGTGCCAACCATGATATTCCAGAATCAATTCTAGAATAATCACCTGCTGTTAGACCCCCTCTTTGAGGAACCAGATAGATCATGATGAAGTTTCTTCCTGTTGCTTAGTGCTGACCACCAAATGGCTGGATTGTCTGATGTGTCTCAGCAGAGTACAGACTGTGACATCTGACCAAGAGAAACAATTACTCCATCAGCTCCGAGAAATCACCAGGGTCATGAAAGAAGGCAAGTTCATTGACACATCTACTCCAGAGAAAGAAGCAGAGGAAGCCCCTTACATGGAGGACTGGGAAGGTAAAATGTCCCTTTACTTTTATAGCTTATCACTCAGAAAGGACATCTTATGGGTTTCCTTAAAAATCAGTTTGGTACTGAGGCATGACAAATCTCTGTTCTTACTTGTATAATGTTTACCATTTATAAACGTGCAATTGGAAAGTTTGGCAAATGTGTACAGTTGTAATCACACTATAGCCTCAGAATAGGACAATTTCATCATCCTATAAAGTCCCTCCCTCCTGTCTCTGGCAGTAGCTAAGTTGCTTTTCACCCCTGTAGCTTAGCTTTTCCTGTATAAATGGATCGTATTGCAGATATGCTATGGCGGGTGTCTTCTGTTTAGAGTGATACATTTGAGATTCATGTGTGTTGTTGAGTGTATCACAAGTTCTTTCTGAAACTACTGGGCAGTATTGCATAAATATACCACAGTTTGTTAATCCACTCACTAGCTGATTAACCCTGGACTCTTTCTAGCTCTGAACTTTAGGATCTGAGCTCCTGTGAGATTAGCATGCAAGACTTCACAAGGCTTCTTTTGGATATACTGTGCTTCTCTTGATATATGCTTAGGATTGGAATTTCAAGGTTTGTAGTTAGTGTGTGTTTAAATTTATAGACATTGTAAGCTGGCTTTGAAGTGTCTGCACATTCCCACCAAATCCTTGCTAACCCACTGTCTTGTAAATGTTAGCCATTCCATGAGATTAGGGTGGCATTGATGTCACAACTTAGATTTACACTTCCCCAGTGACTAATGATGCTGAACATTTTTTTCATGTGCTTATTTTCAAATGCTATATCTTTGTTGAAAAACCTATTCAAATTATTATTTTTGATTATTGGTTTGAATGTGTTATTATTAAGTTGTAACATATTTATTTATTGTATGGAGGTATTTTTTGAGACAAGGTTTTGTGATACAGTAGCACTTGGGGCTATATTTGCACTCAGGCTAGTCTTGAATGTATCACCCTTGTACCTCAACATCCCTAGTACTGGGATTACATGTGTGTATCACCATACCCAGATGTAAGGGTCTTTATGTATCTTGGATGCAAGTATTTTACCAATTAAATATTTTATATACATTTTCTCATAACCTGTAACTCACCTTTTCATTTCCTTAATAGTCTTAAAGTCTTAATTTTTTATGAAGTCATATTTTTTCTTTTAATTCATATTTCTGTGTGTTCTTTTTAAGACATTTTGCCTAATCCTAATTCCTCTAGAAATTATATGGCTTTAGTGCTTGCATTTAGGCTTATTTTGAGAATATTTCTTAATTAATATTTTAAATTAAAGTATATCATTTTCTCTCTTCCCTTTCTTCCCTCCAATCCCTCCCTTGAGTTAATCTTTATGGATGGTGAAGCATCAGAACTTAAATTTGCTTTTGCAGATATCAATACTATATCACTCTCCTTTAATTTGATTAGTTGCTTTAGCACATTGGTTGAAAATCAATTGACTCTCTCTGTGTGTGTGTGTGTGTGTGTGTGTGTGTGTGTGTGTGTGTGTGTTCTAGGTGTGAAATCTAAAGCTTTGCACATGTGGGCACATGCTGAGCTCCATTCTTAGTTCAATACCAAATGTCAGCCCTGAAAAACATATACATACTTGTAACATACAGATTGAGCAGGTTGTATTTATATATTTAGGAATGCACATACATACATACATTGAAGAAAGAGAGTCCTACACTGGTTTTTGAGTTCTAGAATGGCTACAATCATGTGTTAAAACCTACTTTGTCATGATATATGGCTAGACTCAGTTTGCAGAACATTTTCCCCTTTTATTAAAAATAGATTCTTTTCTCATATATCCTGATTACAGTTTTCCCTCCCTCTACTCCTTCCAGTTCTTCCCTACCTCCCCTCTCCTCCTGATCCATTCCTTTTCTGGATCTCATTAGAAAATAATGAGAAATAAGATATAAGAACAAAACATAACAAAATAAAATATAATAAGATAAAAACAAAAACCATCACATTGAAGTTGGACAAAGCAAACTAACAGAAGGAAGAGAGCCCCAGGAGAAGGCATAAGAATCAGAGACCTACTTTTCACAAACACAGGAGTCCCATAAAAGTTCTAAGATGAAAGCCATAATATATATGCAGAGGAAACTGGTACAGAAACATGTTGGCCCTGTGCTTGCTGCTTGAGCTTTGCTCAATTGATTTAGAAGGCCTTGTTCTCCAGATGTCCTACATCTGTCCCCTCTGGCTCTTAAACTCTTTTTGCCTCTTCTGCCTTGGGGTCCCCTGAGCTCTAAGGGGAGGGATTTGATGGGACATCCCATTTAGAGTTGTGGTTCCAAGGACTACCTCTCTGTATAATGTCTAGCTGTGGGTCTCTGTGTTTGCAACTGTTATTTTTTTATATATATATATATATATACTGGTATTTATAAAGGCTACTTACTAGTGATTTTCTTTAATCCAAATCTGTCTTTGGACTTTATTTCAGAGTAATGCCAGGCACTGCCTCATAAATTGCATTGGGTTGCAGTCTTTTCTGGAAGAGTTTGTGTAAAATACTGTTAATCCATAATCATTAGTGGAGTTTATCTGTTTTTGTGTTTTTGGAATGTGTGTAAAGGCACATGTGGGTAGACTTGCAAGAATAAATTGAATTTCTTTAATACATTAAGTGAGCTTTGAAAGTAGTTTTAAAAGTTTTACATACTTCATACAAATGTCTTGTTTGAAAAACGTTCATAATCTTCCCTACCTACTTAATGTCTGTGACACAAGGGGAGTGTGTACTAATGCTAATAATCTTTTCTTCCTCTCGTTTTTTTTTTTTTTTTTTTTTTTTTTTTTTCTTGATCAATTGGACAGAGATGTATAACTCTGATCTTTTCAAAGGCCTGTGTTTTTTTCTCATTGTTAGGTTGGCTCTGGAGGATACGCGAGGGCTGAGTTAGCCTTAGTAAGCCTTGTGTGAACCTGGTGTCTTACAAGTCTTCTACTCTAGGGACAAGTAACTGCTCCTATCTGTGTATATGCTTAGGATGTTCTTACTGCTGACGCTCAGTGGCATCTTGTTTCTTCCTGTGTCACTACTTATCTACAAACATGAAGTTCCCTTTGCATGTCTCTGAAGTGTTTAAGAAGCTCTGTAGTTCTCAGCAAATTCTGACTTCCCTTCCTTCTCTGAACTCTCATGTCTGTTTTTCCTAACTAAAGGAACTAAAGGAACTAAAGGAATCTCTTCTCAGGGATTACTATAGATGACTTGTTTTACAGTATTTGAAGATGTGCAAAAGATATAAACAGACATTTCAGCAAAGATGATATACACATTGCAAATACACACATTAAAGCATATTCAACATAATTTCCTTCTTAGAAAATGCATATTAAAGTTAGAATATGATAGATGGGTGTAGTTATGTACACCTTTAATTCCAGCAGAAGCAGAGGCTGTGAGTTTGGGGCCAGCCTGGTCTATATAGTAAATTCCAGGCAAGAGGGTTACATAGTGAGACAATATCATCCCCGCCACCCTGCACAAAAAAAAAAAAAAAAAAAAAAAAAACTAGAATAGTGTGCTTCTCCATACCTTTCAGAATGAGTGAAATAAGAAATTGTAGTAGGTTAGGACACAAAGAAAGTATTATATATACATCAGTAGTGAGCTATAAAAGGGAATGCATGTATATTAGTTACTTTTCTGTCTCTGTGACCAAATTACTTCCCTTGCCAATGGCAGGAAGACTTAGTGGAATATGCCATTTCACAACAGGGAGGGTCCAGAAGTCAGAGAAGTGAACAGGTATCCATCCTCAGCAATCTGTGTCTTCCAACTAGGCTTTGTCTCCTTCACGGCCTCCCAAAATAGAACTACCAGCTGGGAACCAAGCATTCAAAATTTGAGCCTGTTAGGGACATTTTGTATTTAATCCACAAAAGGATGTTTTGGAAAACAATGTAGTAGTTTGTTTTTTAAAAAAAAATCTAAGCATATAAATACTGTGTAACATAGTAGTTGCAGCATTGACATTTATCTCCAAGCAATGAAGACAGGGACATGTAGAACTTGTATATGAATATTATTAGCAGCTTTATCTAATAGGTAAAACCTAGGAACAACTTGAATGTCCTTCAGCAGGTGAATGGTTAAATGCTATTATATGTATTACATAGTATTCCACTAAGCAATAAGAAGGAATGAATTACTGATACATGCAGAGACTTATGCTGAGTGAAGGGTAGAAACTTATTCAAAAAGATATGATTCTAGAATACTCTTCAAATGGCAAAATTGTGGGAATAGATAACATACTAGTAGTTGGTAGGGGCTGAGGAGCAACATGCCAGTATGAAGGAGTGGGTGTGGCCATGAAGGGCAACAACATAAGGCATCCGTCTAGATGGATATGTTCTCGTCTATATTTTTTTTCTTGTTGTATATGATGCATGCATGCATGTATGTGGGGTATATGTGTATGTATGCACATTCATGTGTGTTCAGGCAAGATGTTGAAGTCAGGTGTCTTAATTGCTTTCTACCTTATGTATTAAGGTAGGACCTCTTATTTAAATCCAAAGCTATCCAATTTCAGTAGTCCAGCTAGCCATCTTGTCTTGAGGTTCCTATCTCTGCCTCCCAAGCACTAGGATTACAGACAGGTCATTCATGCCCACCTGCTCTGTACTGGGTACCGGAGATTAAATTCCAGGTCTCATGCTTGTTGGACAAGTGCTTTTCCACTAAGCTATCTCCCTAGCTCCTGTTCTGCTGATTTAGCTATCTTGTGTGGTGGTTTGAAAGAAAAAGGCCCCCAAAGGGAGTTGTACTACCAGGAGGTGTGGCTTTGTTAGAGTGGTATGGCCTTGTTGGAGGAAGTGTGTCACTATGGGAGCAGGTTTTGAGGTGTCCTATGCTCAGGATACTTCCCAGTCTATCAGTCAACTTACAGTTGCTTGCAAGATGTAGGACTCTCAGCTATTTCTCCAGCACCATGTCTGCCTGCATGCTGCCATGATGGTCATAGACTAAACCTCGGAAACTGAGCGAGCCACCCCAGTTAAACATTTTTCTTATAAGAGTTGCCTTGGTCATGGTGTGTCTTCACAGCAATAGAGACCCTAACTAAGACATCTTGATTATGATATTATGCTCTATTTTTCTTCAAGCTATACATCAATCAATACTTATCTCAAGATAGAAAAGTAATTTATTGAAAGTAACACAAGTTACAACACAAAGGTTAGTAGTAAAGCTTTCTATACATAATACTTCCACCTTCTATAGTTAAGATGGTATAAGAGTTTAAAAGCTAACACTGAACTGGAAAAGTATCTATGGCAAATATGGATGGAAACAAGTTGATGGGTTTAATATATAATAAGTTCTATGATTAATGCAGAAGTCACATAAACAGTTTACAAAAGAAAAAAACTCTACCAGCTGTAAAACTTGTGAAAATATTTCAACCTCAGCAATCATCAATGAAAAAATTTCTTTTTTCTTCCAGTTTGTAAATCAGAATTACACACTTATTCCCAAACATTACTCTTTTCCCCATCACTTTCTCCCTGCATTGTAGGTTACATTGAAGTCAAAGAATTTTAGCTATGGTACTAACTTTGAAAGGTACCTGCTTTTTCTGCTTTAAGTATAGTTTAACCATGGTATTAAATTTCCTGCTACATTACCAATGATTAATTATTTTACATTTATAAGTCACCCTTTCCATTTTTCTATTCTTCTCTTCTTCCCTCCTTCCCTACCCATCTCTCTCCATCCTTTCTTTTTCTGAGACAGGCTTTCACCATATAGCCCAGCCTTGAACTCCTAATCCTAACACGGCTGTATACGACTTAACTACTTCCCTGTGTCTACTAGGAATTGAACTTACAGTCTTTGAACATAATTTGCATGTCAGGCAAGTGCTTCACCACTAAGCTCCGTCTGCAAACCATTTAAAAGGTGTGATTCGTCTTTCTAAAATGCCCAGTCTGGCCTTGAAGTTGCCTTGCACCTTTCATCCTAGGTAGCTATGATCTCAGGCTTGAGCAGAAAGTCTGAATTTAACTTTTGATGAATTTTTGTATTTGTCAAGATAATGTCCTGCCATACTTTTGATGTTTATGTGTTAAAAGCTTGATCCCAAAACAGCCATTATTTGGATGTGGACCTTAGGAAGTGGGGCCTCAGGGAAAGTCCATTGTATATTTCATGGATGCCCTCAAAGGGGACTGTGGCACCCTAATCACTTCCTCTTTACTTACTGCCCCATGTAAGCAGCTTGGCTCTGCCTCTTGCTTCTGTTGTAATGTGCTGCTCTTGCCAGAAGCCTAAAGCAATGGGCTTTCCAATCTTGGGTTGGAATCTCAGAACCTTCAGCCACAATAAACCTTTCTCTTTATGAGCTCATTATCTTAGGTATTTCATTGTAATGGTGTAGAGCTGACACAAGCACATCAAACATTTTTACTCTGTGTAAGGTGCCATAGGTCAGAACACTTGGCTATCTATATGGAGTTTTCATCTTGCTGCTAGAAAATTCATGGCCATGCCATTTTTCTTAACGTTGGAAAATCCTTTTTCACTCTGTACTTTCACTTGACTGAAAACAAGAAATCTTGGTAGCCTGTTTATAGTAGTTATTATTTTTCTGTCTGGGAATTCATTTTCATCTTACATTTTAATGGTCACAGTCATTGGTTCTATCTGTGGATACGTGAATGTGTTTTTATACTACTTTTGCCCAGCAGTTAAGAGCCTCCTATCAGTGAATAAATGTTTCCTTTCATCATTTTTTATTGGTGCTTCGATCTATTTTACTTTGCTTTCATGGTCTGGTGATTCAAAATTGGGTACAGTGATCAACCTCCACAATTTATCAGAATTTCCATTTCTTTCCATTTGTATTTGTTACAGGAGAATTCTTTAGTGTAAACTTTTAATACATGGATTTGTTTTTCAGCCATGCCCATTTTAATCTTGTTACTTTATTCCTGGGTATAAGATTTTCATCTTGTGATCATGTCTGTTTACAGGAATTATATTTCCATTGCTCTGAATCCTCTTGAATGTCACTAGGGATAAGTTGACATGTTAAATCCATTCCCCATGTTGACTGTTTTATTGATTGCTGTTATATAATTTGCTTAGTTTGGTTTTCATGTTTTAACTGATGTGTTTTTCATAGAAGCAGTGAATCCTTGTTTGCTTATATTTTTTTTTAATAAAGTTTTAAAGTAGTAAGTCATTTAACATGAGCTACTTCAGCATTGGGGTGGGTCATTAGTGATAGTTTGGGGTTTAACATTAATTTTATTAAGAATACTTGATTTTTTAGTTTTCCATTTATATGGGATATCTTCTTTCTGTCCTTTCTCCTTCACTCTATGTATGGTCTTAGAGTTGAAATGAGTGTCTCATAGGCAGCATTCATTTGGGCCTCCCCCTCCAAATCTATTCAGCCATTCTGTTGATTAGAAAATTTAACTCATTTATATTCAGTTAACAACTGATAGGTAAGGACTTACTAGTGTCATTTAAACATTTTATTACATTTGTGTGTGTGTTCTTATGCATGTGGGTGAGCAACAGTGTGTGTGTGTGTGTGTCTGTGTGTGTGTGTGTGTGGAGGGCAGGGGACAACCTGTTGAAGTTGGTTCTTTCTGTCCTTCCATTATGTTGATCCTGGGGATAGAGCCCAGGTTGTTACACTTGGTGGTAAGGTAAGTGCCTTTACCCACTGAGCTGTCTCACAAACCGGACTATTATTTTGATAGTTGTTTTCTGTTTCTTTTATAGATTCTTTGTTCTTTTCCTCCCAGTCAGTTTTCTGTTCGATTTTGTTGTTTTGTTTGTATCTTTAGGTGGCTTTCTTAAACCCTGGATCTCCAGTGGATGACCTGGAGTTGAAATGGGCCATAAGACTGAGTCTGCAGAGGCTATGTGTTGGGATGGGCCTGGAACCTTGAGTCTATAAGGTCTAGTTCCAAGGCCATCTACAGGCCTATTTTGCTTGAGAAAGCCTTGTGGGCCTACCTTTAGGTTTTGGGGCTGTGGGATCCATAGAGGTGATCTGGAAGCTTAGTTGTGTGTATTGGTTTGGTACTCATATCTACTGGAATAAGCATAGGTCCTGAATCCACTAGAGTGTGGAGATTAGCTTCAGGACTGTACCATCAGTAGGTAAGTCTGGAGCCTGTGTCTGCATTTAACAACTGGGTTTCTGCATTTAACAACTGGGTATCTTGATTCTGGACAGACCTAGAAGCTGTGACTGGGTTTGCTAACTGGTTCAGGGCTGGTATGGAATCCAAAGCTTTCTTGTTGCTGGGTGGACCTGGACCCTGTTTCTGTGGGAGCCTGTATAGAGATTGCTAGGTGTAAGCATGATAACTATGGTCATGGGACTGTCCTGGACTTTGTGTTAGAGCCCCTGATGCCAGGATGACCTGAGTCCTGGGGCTGCTGAATTGTGCCTAGAGCTTGAGTCTAATTGTTGTCCCTCCTATACCAAAGCAGGTAGTCATTGAAATGCAAAGGTAAGTTGTGCTCTTGGGGAAGACTGAAGGCAAGCAAATGGACTACTTTGAGAAGTCAGGAGTTGAGATCTAAGCTGCAAGCTCCTGCCCTGAGGTTGTAAAAGCCTTGGATAGCTATTGCAGTCCACTTAAAAGAATTGAGGCGTATTTAGTTGATGATTCTAAGAGTCTAAGAGCGTGGTGTCAGCATCCACTTTGCATCTAGTCAGAGCCTTCTTGCAGTGTCACTGTATGTCAGAGGACATCACATGGTCAGATAGAGCAAGCTTGATGTCTTCAGTTTTTCTTCTTACAAATCTATAAATGCCATCATGTGGAACCTACCTTTAAACCTGATTTAGTCTCCTCTCAAAATACCATTAACATATGACTTTAAGGATTGAGCTTCAACAAGGGTTTTGGAAGTGACATTCAAACCACAGAGGTGCTTACACTCTTGTTTTACCCAGCACTTTGTTTAAAGTTGTTCATGGGCAAGATTCTGACACTCAAGTCAGTGCTGGTGAGGGTTGGTAAGAGGGAGTGTTTACATCTCTGGGAGGACTGAAATTTTTTTTATATGATTCTTCTGGAAAATAATTTGGCCTACTCTCTATATTTCTAGAAATCCATTTTGAAGAATTGGGGTAGGTGGTCTGGTTTTATATTCAGCCTCGTTGTCACATAGCTTACAATGGGAACAAGTTGAAAGGAATCTGCTTGAACGTCTTATATAAGAATAGTGCTTGCTTCAGCAGGACATATACTAAAATTGATCAATATAGAGAAGATTAGCATGGGCCCTGTGCAAAGATGACATGAAAACTCATGAAGCATTCTATTTTTTTTTTAAGTATATCATGTCAGTTGTTTGACATAGAGAAATATCCATAACACATATTAAATGAAAAAGTATAGAGCAAAAGTCCATACTCAACAATGTCTTTATTAAAAAGGCTGGAAAATACTATCCATATATGACTTTAAAAGTCAGAGAATTTATCTTTGTGGTAGAATTCTAGGTGAATTGTGTTTTCTTTTTAAACTTGTCTATAATTAAAATTAGTAGGAAAATATAAACAAAATGAAGGCTATGTTACTCTCCTCAAAAATTCTGCAAAGTCAGAATAACTTTTATAATCAGAAATGTTGTAAAAATGTCTTTAGATACCTTACATTGTACCAAAAGATTGCCGTTTTTCACAATTGATGAACAAAAATCTGTCAGAGCTGAATATACTGTCATTGTCAGCCTGCAATGCATATGAACTCCAGCATGGCCCATCTGCTGCTCAGGCTGGGCTTGGCTGAATGAAACACATTTATTTCATCTCATTCCTTATTTGGCAGCATAGCCTTTTTCTCATTATCATAGCTGAGGTTCAGTGCCAGGGATACTCATTTTGCTTACCTGTATATTGTTTTTTCCTTTTGTTCCATTTTGTGAAGACGAAGATGACAATGAGAATTCTGTCTCTGAAAATGCAGCTCTTGTCCTGTGTGGTCTTGGTCATGTTTTGCTAACTTGTCCCTGCTTCTGACAGACTATTTTGGTTGCTTTGATAAGTAGAAAGCACCAATGTTTATTTTTCAAAGGATTTAGCCTTCCTTTTCCCAGCCTCACCCCCACCAGAAGATGATGAAATGGTTCCAAATAGAAATTGTAAATGCTAGCCTTAAGCTCAGCCCTCTCCATCTGGTACTGGTGACTTTTTTTTTTTTTTCTTTTTTTAATGCTGAAGGCTCACACTATTTGCTTAATCTTAATCAGTGCTGCAGAGACATGAGAGGTGAGACATCCCTCTACCCCAAGCACCTTAAGAAGGCTCTTCCTCTGCCTTGGTTTTTATTTCAAGGAGCACAGGGACAGTCAGCCAGACTGCTAGGAATTTGTTCAAGTGAAACTTTAGTACTATTAGAACCATCTTAGAGATTTATTGAATGGATTTGTTAGGATAGGATAGCTGCTGCCAGAGAATCCTCTCTGATCCCGACATTATTTATTTTTCAAAGATGCTCTTTGTAAGACTTTGTTCTACTTTCCTCTCTAGGTTACCCTGAAGAGACTTATCCGGTGTATGACCTTTCTGATGGTATCAAGCGTAGGCAAGAAACAATCCTAGTAGATTACCCTGATCCACAAGAGCCCTCTGCTGAAGAAATAGCTGAACGTATGGGAGCCATGGAAGAGGAAGGGTCAGAGCATTTGAGCTGGGGTCATTTGCCCATTGACTCTGGGGCCCAGAAAGATAATTCAGTTACCCTGTGTGACCCTAACCCAGAACCCTGCTCCTGCTGTTTTCATGAAGAGGAGGATCCTGCTGTCTTGGCAGAGAATGCTGGTTTCAGTGCAGATGGCTACAGTGAGCAAGAGGAAGCCACCAAGGAAGACTGGCCCCAAGGCTTTATAAATGAAGGGTTGGGGGTCAGCACCGATAACACACCCATGGGTGGCCTGTTGAGGAAGCGCAACCCCCAGAGTTTAGAGTAAAGGCAGCCTGTTTGAAGAGATATCCATTGCTCTACTCCCAAGGTATCTTTCCTCAATTTCATCCATGGCCCTCTGCCCTCTACTTTCTTCTCTGTGTTCAGTATCATAGAACTTGGGCCACTACCATGGATATTATCTATCCTTTCTGGTGCTTGCACACCTGTCACCTTGTAAAGTAGACATTAGTGTGAACACAGGACAATATCACCTTTCTCTTCCTGCTTTTCTGCATCAGAGACACTAACCCATTAGATAATTATACTTAGTTGATTGTGCTTAGAGGCGGTATCACCTTTGCAAAGGTCTGACCCCTCCTCATAGGAGAAACAGATGGTTTACCTATGAATGAGATTGGATTAGCAGATGTTGGGGACTTAAGATTGTAGACTCCCAAATGCCTTATTCTTTGGGCCTTGAACTGGTTAGTAGTCCCCTGAGGTGAGCATGCTCATTTGTGAGGCTAAGGGGTCCAGAGCACAGCAAGACAGCTGACTGAGCTGCAACCTCCCTTAGCCTTCTAGGTTAAGATCTCCTGGCTCCTCCAGAATAGTAGGCCATGAACACACAGTCCTATCTGGAGACCATTTTGCTTATATATCGCCTTGCTCCCTAGTTTCCCTTGTCCTTACTCTATTGAACAGAACTGCCAATCCAGAAGCACCTTTGTACATCTGGTCATCTGTGGCTAGGGGAAATTTGAGGCATAAGTACTAGTCTGTGTCTCACAAAGCTGAAGTTTGAGGCTGTTGATGCTACAGGATGGCCTAAGTATGGTGGTCCTTCTATGAGGAGTTCAGGTGGCTGTGAATCCTAACAAGGGTGAATCAATTTGGTTACATGTAAGACCTGCAAGTTGAAAAAAGGTATGTCTCCAAAGACATTCCCAGACATGAAATGGAGAACTCAAAATTTACGGAATCTGTGAAGCTGGATTAGTGTTCTATTGTGCCTGTCACAAATATAAGGCCAGAAGACAGTTTGGACTACTCAGGAGCATCCTGGCTGCCATCAGAAGGTATGCAACCACACTAAGATAGTCAGCTACTACAAAACTTTATACTGTACTACATCAATCCCTGTGTAGAACATTTGATTGAAATTGTCAAGAATATAGTTAATGTGTACTGAAGATAATCTTGGCATAACTAAGAGTAAAAACAAGTGTAGGTACTCTTGTTTTGGCAAAGTTTTCTGTGTGGTTCCCTTATCCAGTGGTTGAAATTGATTTAGGATAGCTCTGGGTTCTCATTTGTCCATAGGATACGATCCTGTTATAAGAATTTGTTTTTCTCGTACATTCATCGGACAGTTGCCCCATGCTGAGTACTAAGACTGAATTTGTACCTTGAAGAGTTTCAGTTTAATATGGGAGCCTGACAGATGCTCTGTGGACTATAGGAAGGCTAGAGATTGTTAATAGAAAACTGGGTCCTGATCCTACCCTGAAACTCTGGCTGTATAATTTTGGATTGACTCCTTAGGCAGTCTGAGCCTGGTTTGGGCATCTGTAAAGTAAGGGTAGTAAAAATGCAGGTCTCACAGGGTTATAAATGTAAATGAACTAGTCAGTGTGAGTAGGGCAGCCTAACTAGCTCCTGTATAACAACATATCATATGGTAGCTATTTTATTACAGTGTGGACCCCAAACTACAGGACCATGGAAGAACAGTAATGTTTTTTGCCAAACTACCAAAATGCATTTCAGAAGAGACTTTGTGGCAGCTAAGAACATGAACAAGGAAGAGAGAGAACATTTTGGCAGAAAGAGTGGATTAGCAAGAAAACTGAGGTGTGTAGATGGATATTCAGTTGAAAGGAGTTACAGAGCCAACTCTGATTTTTAACGGGGATTAACTATGGAAACAGTTCCTGCCTGCCAGAAGGACTAATCCTTTGTGGGTCTTGCCACTTTAGATATTAGTTTGCATATAGAAATATATTTGTCTGTATACATCAGAAACTTCAGTGTACTCTTTCAGTAATTTAGAATGTAGGCTTTTTTTTTTTTTTTTTTTTTTTTTTTTTAATTTCCCAGAATTGTATCCCTTGGGTATGATGATTTTACATGTATATTCAGTCTAGGGAGACCAACATCAAGGGTTTTCATTGTGATATTCATTTTCAGTATTAAAGGCTGTAGACTTCATCAAGGCCTTGCCAATAGGTCTATACTAACCCCTGGGACACTATAGCAGTAACTGGCCTAAGAAGCCACCGCATGTCACCTAGGACTATACTTGGTAACTTAAGTGGGTATTCAACCAAAAGATCCCTTAATGTGGTCATAGTAGGAAAACAATTGGGCTCGGAGGTATGTTGAGGAATGGAGATGGTTTTAACCTCTAGAAGTCTGTCAGAGCCATGTTCTTTGTACTTAGACTTTGGTGGTATAATAATTTATGGTCTGAACACACTTTGAAAAAAGGAATGTTACTAGTACACATGGCATGATTAATATTTTCTTATCACTGTGACAAAATATCTAACAAAGGCAACTTAATGCAGGAAGATCATATAGTTTGGTGATGTCCTTCCTGGCAGCAGGAGCCACGAGGACTGGTTCAGTCACGGAGCAGAGATGAATGCTAGCACTTGGCTTGTTTGCCCCCGTTATTCAGTTTGGGCCCCAAGGCAATGTGATGCTGCTACCCACAATGAAGATGGGTCTTCCTCCTCAGTTAAGCTGTCTTGTAAACTATCATATACAGGTGTGTTTCCTTGGCATTCTAAATCCCATCAGGTTGGTAATTGAGACTAACCATAGAGGCGACAGGTGTAAACTTCCTGGACATGTATTTTACCAATTTAGGGTTTTTCATCAACCTGATAGCTAAACAAAACCCTTTTCCCTTTTAGAATATCCTGTATATGGTCTTCCTAACAAAGACGGAGGCTGGGGAGCCAGACCTTGGTTCAGGTAGGGAATGCTTTTAAATCACATCAAAAACACCTGAGTAATTAAGTAAACCCCAATTATAACTCTCCCCTTCTGTTCCCCTTTTATTTAGACAATTTGCATCCAGAAAGAGTATTTTGTGTGCCACCTGTTGAGTAGTAATCAGGAAGAATACAAATCAACTATCCTGTAAACCTTAACCATCAGTTAAAATATACTTTCTAGTATCAAGGAAACAGGGCATTCCTTCACTTCAGAGGGTACCAGTGTCCTTGTGGACAGCCTGGGAACCATGTCTACTTTATAGGTCTGTTTATGGAGTGTTCATCCCAGAGTGAAGTGGGCAGTAGGTGCTAAGCACCGTCACCGTCTTTAATCTCTTGTTGCTGGGCTGCCCACTTGATACCCACTCTAAGGCCACTCTGACTTCCAGGAATGGTCCAGGGTCACTCTGTGGGGTATGTGTGACTTTGTGATGACTCCCTTCAAGAGTGGATCATTAGCTTTGATGCCTGTCTTCAGTAACAACTACAGGCTTCCGTCATTTGGCTTCAAATCTACCACAGACTGAAAAAGATCCTCACACATGTAAAAGTCCTGTTTAAATAGTTCCAGCTCTGAACATGGATAGTCTGGAGTAATGTGGCCTTTCCCACTTTTGAGTCCTACATCCCAATTCTGTCCACAAGGACCATGGCCACCAAACATACTTAGGAACTACTACTGGCCAGTTCCTTCAGCTGACCCAGACGACCGTGAATTAATTTCTAGCTTCACTTTTCCCCACACACTATGGCTGTGGCACCCCAAGAGCAGATAGTGTTGACCTGACGTTGCTGGTTTTAAACACACTGTGCCTTTTTTGTTGCTACACATCAGACCCTTTGAAGCTCCTAGGAATGAATGAAATAGAGAACATTTTCTCCCTCTATGAAAAAAACAAGGACACAGCAGTCAAACAGTTCAAGTTTAATTTGTTGATACATGTCTGTACTTAGACAAACACTAAATTCTACAACATACGTAATGTCATTATGGGAAAATACCAAGTTTGTCATTGCACATACCAATAAATAAATACATTTGCTTCAGAATACCAAAAAGTTTATTCAAAAAGTCACTTAATAAAAGCACAGTTTTGCAAGTCTAAAACTCCAGATAATTTTAAACAAAAATAAAATGTTTGACCACTCCAAAATAGGAAAAGACAATCATGTGCAAATAGACATACATGTTCTAGGCATTGTGAAAACTGACTAAGTGTGCTCCCAGCAAGAGAAATGCTGCCTGTCCTCACCAGGCTGTTTACATCCAGGAGGCTGGAGCTGGGTTTCCCCTTCTATGCAACTTTGAGGTGCTCTACAGAAGTCTCTAGATTTCAGCCTCATCCCCAGCTCTACCTGGACCTCAATGGGGGAGGAGGGGTAGGAGAACAGAGGAGAGGGGTGCAGTATCTTTCTTAGGAAAGAAAGAAGGCACAGTGATGAGCGAGGAAAGGTAGTGATGAAGCAAGGATTAACCTTCACTAACCAAGCTTTGACAGGCCTGCATCTTTATCTTGTAGGTAAGGAGACAGATGTAGCATTATGTAGTTTGCTCAAATGATCTAGCTGATGTGAATGCAGTCCTACGTTCCTGGACCAAGTCACCTCTGCACTGAAAACCCAAACCCATCTTAGTACTTAAGATTTTGAAATGACAGAAAATTGCAAGCTGGAAGTGAATAAGGCCAGATGGCCATAAACTAAGAAACCATCTCACATCCTGTTCTGGAGACTAGAGTAGGTCTATAAGCCAGGGCCTAGGGCAGTATAAGGTCCCAACTCTGCAGGGCAGTTGGGCCCCAGTCACAGTGCTAGGTACCACAGAAAGCATGCTTTGATGGCACCTGGCATCCTGGAATCCCATGAGGATATCACAGCTGGGGCAAGGAGTACAGAGAAGGGAAGGCCAGGGCTGCTGCTACGGGGAAACCAAGCTGTCCATCAAGGAGATGGGTGTTGTGCTTGCAGAGCAGAGCTGTGGACACAGCTCCTCCCTGCAGACCCCATCTGAGCAGTCATTCCTATTGCTTAAACTATGTACTTCTAAATAAAGTTTGGAGGCAAACACCCTGCCATTTCCAGAAAGAAGGGAAAAATAAACCACTTCTACAACATTGTTGCCTCATCAGTGAAGAAGGTAGGTTTACCCAAAGTTCTCTTCCAGCCTGCCTGTCATCACACATCTTGGCTCCCAACACCTGTCTTCCCATAGGCATGCACCTGACTTGCTTTCCTTTAGTGTCAAGATTGTTAAGGCACCATCACTACACCATGTTCATTTAAAAGAATGCACATCTCTGCTCCTCCTCCAGTGAGACCAACACTATACTTTCTTGACAGTCTCCTGCTAGGAACCATGGGAAAAAGAGCATGGAAAGAAGGGACATAATCCACTGTGATCACAACTGCCCCCTCAGTCTTTTCCTACCCAGATGTGATCTTAACTTCTGTTGGTTGATTGTAGATTGCCCTTTCCTCCAGACATACGTGCGCACACACACACACACAGAGACAGACACAGAGCACCTTGGAGCCAGAAGGACAGAAACAGCTAGACTCGGAGAGGACTTGGGGAAGCTAACCTCACCACTCTGCAGAGGAACTGTTTTGGAGCAGAGGGTGGAGAGTTTTAGGATGTAGAGCCAGGAGCATACAGAGGAGCTGCCTAAGGTACCAGCTGCCCCACACTCTTAGGGACTGTCCACTCATCCCATCATCAATCTGTTGCCGCCTAGTCAAGGACCAACTAGGAAAGGAGGGTGTGAAAGGAAAGAAAATCTTACTGTGGGAGAGGCTGAAGCCAGGTGCTCTCCAGGGCCCTGGTATTTGAGGTCCATGATCCTGTGCTCATAAAAGGCAATGTCACCAGGAGCTGAGTCCTAAGATCTGACCTTGTGCTGGTCTGAAGCAGGTGATTCATCTGCTCTTGTCACTCAGTGCCCAACAGAGGGTCTTGTGCTGAGGCTGCCTTCCCCCACAGTGGGCCTATTTCCTGGTGCTCCCAAATTTATATTCAGATAGCCAACACCCCCTTTTTGTGTGTGCTAAAGAAGAGAGCAGAGATCAAGAGTTCTTCATTGTGCTTCCAGTGTCCCCTTAATCACCAGGGTCTCTTCCACCCACTAGACTCCAGAGTCAGCCCTGTTCAACCTCAAAATTGTAAAGCCAGAGAGAGCTCAACTAGAATGAAGACCTCCTTCTACCACCTCTAAATCCTTGTAAAGTTAGGGAAGGAGGGCAAACACAGAACTATGGGAAGGAAATAATGGCACTGTTATCTTTCATCAGGAGATAGGCCAGCCCCAGCATAGAAGTCCTGGTCCCTCTAGAAACTAGACTGTAAACAAAGGCTAACTCAATGGAAGGTCCTCTCGTGGAGATGTATGGCTCAGGTGTGCCAGATCCTGTTACAGCAGGTGTGCCCTGCTTAGAAGGAAACAGGAAAATCCAGATTTTTTTACATACTATTTCATCAATCCAGCTTCTTTACCTGTAGAGCCTCATTTACATATTTAAATTTCTACTTAGCCTTTCTGAGCATATCTACTTTAAAGTAATGTCTAAATGCCCTTTGCTTTCCACTGGTTTCTTATCTCCATCTAGGCAAGAAACATCTTGCAAATGACACACAGGCAAGGATTAAAAGTTCCCAAGTCTACCAGATAGTGGTGCCATCCAAGGAAAAGTGGCAATGGAGGGGATGTTCAGGCCCAGTCCTTGAACCCTCAAGATGCCTGTCAAAGCTACACAAAGAAGTGTGCAGTGGCCCTGCTGCTGAGGTCTGTGCACAGCTTGAAGCCCTCAGGGACCACCAGCACAGGCCAGATCCATTCAGACAACTTTCAACAGGGAACTGCCTGATGCCCTACTGAAAGATTTTCAGTCTTAGACATTAACTCCGAGGGTCCAAAGTCTCTAGAATTGGGAAGAGAAAGGGCATGCAGAATGGACCCCAGAAGACCAGAGAGTCTAGTTTCTGGGCAACAGTAGGAACAAAGGAACTTAAGGTTCTGAACTCTGACATTAACCAGTTAGGTAACCAAGAGACAAGTCCCATGTTCTCGGGGATCAGCATTGCTTTTAGTGAGCCACACAGTCCTACCACCTCTGAGCTCTGGTGGCCCTAAAATACCCTCTGCTTTCCTCACCTGGCTCCATTCCCCTAAGAAGGGCACAAAGCCCTCAATGATCAGGGAATGCTGGCAACAATGGGAGCTGGGTCTTCCCAGAGAGGACATTCTTCCTGAAGCATGCCACTACTTGAATGGTGACCTCTACCCTATGTGTGTCATAGGAGTTGTGCTGGGGCTGCTCAACATCCGAGAGCCCCGATGGAGGCTCCCCCTGGATGACCCCTGTAACTCCACCCACTCAGATTTTGGCCTTAAGAGCTGGGTTCTTGCTTCTGAAAGCAACAAATGAGCTACCATTCTAATCCACCAGCTAATTCGCACAGCCAGGCCCCTGCAATCCTAGTAAGGTCCTGCCACTCATCTATCCCTAACCCCCCCCCCAACTTCCCTTAGGCCTGATTGGCCCTTTTTGAGGTGGGAGTACTTTCTGCTGACCACCAGACCCTTTGCTACATAAAGCTTAAGTGCTGTATACATACGCATATACCCACTGTACCCGTACCTCCTGGGACACCCACTGTCCTCTAACTTATAGGCTGAGTAGGTGGCTGGGCCACAGCAGCCTCGCTTGTGCTTCCTCTCCCTCTGTACCTCCTGCTGAAGAGGTCACCCTGTGTAGTGAAAACTGTGGCAGGGTACTGACCCAAGATTGGTTATGTGTGTTGACCTTGGGGCACAGAAATACTCTTTTCCCTTCAGACCCATTTGCTGTCCCCCTGCTTCAGCAGCAGAGGCAGAGCAGCCAGTTTCTGGTTGGTAAGGCCAGAAAGCCCACTGAGGGCCTATGAACAGAGGGGAGGCAGGGCTGTCTCGGCAGGCAGGCAAGCTCCACTCCAGACCGGGCCACCCTAAAGGCAGAGGAGGCCTCTACTCGCAGGCCAGCTTGCTATCAAAGCTGGACAGCGCAATGGCAAAGGCCTGCAGTGCACACAGTGGGTAGTTGTAATCCATGGTGAACACATCTTCTGCTACCCGGCCAAACTGCATGACGATGTAGTCCGCTGTGGCCATGCACAAGCAGGATGGTGGAGACAGGAAAGACAGACCACAAGAGGGAAGGAAAAAGAGATACCAAAGGCTCAGGAGAAGAGCAAGAAGGTAAAGAGGGGAGGTGGTACAGACAGCAGGGAACAGGGAAGAAAAGACATCCATTTAAAGGGTGTTCCCAAGCCCCAGGTTCAGCTGGGCACACAGAATCCAGGGCCAAGGCTCTAATCACTACAGTTGAAAAGATCTTTCTAATAATATAAGCCATATACCCCACACCCTGTCACTGGCCAGTATGGACTGGGGAGTGAGGGCTAGGCACCACACATAGTGTCAATAAGGAGGGACAGCAATACTCACGGTCATTGCCATGGATGATCTGGAAGTTCTTCACAGAAGCCTGTGTGACACGCCCATGGAAGTTGAGTACGTAGGACTGTGTGTCATCATTCCAGACTGGTGTCTTGTTTTGCAGCTCAATGATGCTCTCCGTGTTCTTGTTCTGCCAGCGTGCTAGCAGTGTCTCGTGCTCCTGGTGGTAGGGAAGTGAGGGCAGCCTTGGCATCACAACCACCCAAAGAGGGACCTTACCTACCCAGGAGCCAGGCATGTTAAGAGTCCCCTAAACTTCTGGGCTTTCTCGAGTTGTATCCCCTACACTTACACCTTGGGGGAATTCTGCCCTTAGAAGCTTATTCAGAGGCTGGGGCCTGGGGAAGTATTAGAGACTTACATTGCGGGGACGGATACAGACTCTCTCATGAACCATGTTCATGCCTGGGACAATCACACTCATCTTCCGAGGTCCCTTGAAGCCTAGGACATTTGTCTCCTGGGAAAACAAGAGAATTTAGCACCGGCTACTTTGAGTAGCTTACCCATGGGGAGACTGGGCCAAGGAGGCAAAGATGAATAAAATGTCTGCAACATCTATACTTGATAGTCTAATAGTCACCTCTAAATTTAGCACAGCCTAATTCGCACCCCATTCCTAACCTATCCACAATTTCTATCAGCTATATGTGCAGATTACAGCAGAATCTAAGACCACCACCAGACAGCCACTAATGCACTTTGCTTCTGCCCTCGGCCCACAAGGCTTTCTTCCCTGACATCTATTCTCAACACAGCATCCTTGCTGTCAGTCCTGGTAAAGGGCATGTTTTCTTCCCCTGCTGAAACTTATTCTATCTTCAGGGCCCTGTGTGATTCGGCCCCTAGTACTTAGTTTTCTTGCTGTCTTAACTCTCTTCTGCAATCACGCTGCCCTCAGACATATACACAGCTGGCGTTCATGTCTGATCTCCTCCTTGGCAAGAGCCTCCCTAAGGTCCACATGCACCTTGACATTTCATATATCTGTATCTCTAACTTGATTTTTAATTCTGAGTACTGATCAAGAACATATTTATTTCACTTACATCTGTTCTATGGCTTGCCTTTCAATAAAGATTTAAATACCATAAGAGTTTGTTTCTGTTTCCAATGTCCTAAGTCCTTCCAAAGTACCAGGAATGGACTCAGACTGCTTCTCTAAATTTGGCCGGTAGATGGCACTATGGGATCATGCGAAATGGCTGAGGAGTCATAGTCTCTACATAACCCTGCCCAAATTCACAAGACATCCATCCTTTTAAGTGAAGAAACCAAACTTGTAACAGAGCATGCTCATATATTCATATTCCATTCTTGTTCTTGTTGGTATATAATGTTAGCAAATGTACCAACTCCAAGCTTCAGTTTCCAGAGCATAGAAGAAACAGAATTACTGCAGCTGCAGCAGGGAGATGGGAGTGAGGTCCAGAAAGGAACCGAGGTCTCTACTTCCTCCTGCCCAGGAGATCTGCTGTGGTCAGAGCCTTGAAGACAGGTTAAGATCTAGGACCCTGTCCCACACAGGGTCATTCTACAGAGAAGAGCCCTTTAGATACAGCCTTGACCAACCATTAAGATACATGGGATGGTCTTCATCCCAGTCAGGCACTATGGCTTCAGTTTCATGTCTACCTAGAAACTACGAACTCACATAGCACACAGCTGCCAGCTCCTGGCGCAAAGTTCCACTTTCCAGTGTAGAAGATGAAGCCTTCTGAGGGTTGATGCCATTGTCATAAACAGTGAACTTCGTGCCCATCAGGTTGGATCTGAAAGAAAGGCACAATCAGCAGGCTTGTATGCCTCTTCCCATGGCATGGCACAGCCTGTTCTCTTACAGGAAGCCTACAGAGCATGTCTGCCAGGGGCAGACATGAGGACACAGTGGAAGTACTCCACAAGCAGTCAACTGTAAGTCAATGCAACTCAACGGGCATCTCGCTTCAATGAAGGAAATCCAGGAGTCAGTGTTCATGGGTTTCTATGAACCATAGGGGGGGACAGGGGTGCTGCTTTTTTTGGAAAGTAAGCAGAGTGACATCTAGGAGGCCAGAGGAGATTCTGTACCTCATGGAGAAAGGCTGTCTGTCCCTTCCAGGGCTATGTCCGGCTTTAGCTACTCACGTCTTCACTTACTCCTCAATGAGATCTCACTTGAGAGCCCCCCCCCCACTTGTCCTCTTCAGGGTTCCTCTGGCCAGAGAGCCAAAGTGACTCTTCCATGGTGGCATACATCATTGGCAACATCCTGTCACTCATGCTGGGCCTGTACCTCATACCTTGGAACAGCTTAGTCCTGTCTGACTCAAGGCTAGACACAGACTGCCCTGTGGTTGGACTTAATGGAGAGCATCTCAGAGAAATCAGAAGGCTTTCTGATCCCCTCCCTTGCCTTCCTAGAAGAGCACTGGTACCGTAATTTCCCAATGTAGCTGTCGCCTCCCCGAGACAAATCTGTCGGGTCCACAGAGATGAGGTAATTGGAAGTTTTGCTCTTCTTTCTCTTCCTTCCCGCCAGGAGGAATACCTTAAACAGTAAAGCAAAATCACCTTCCAGATCTAGCCTGTGGGGCCACAATTATGGTGGCCACTCACACACACATACATACACGCGGTCACCTTGCTTCATCTCCCCCAACACATCTATGTGTGCGTACACATACAAGCACTGACATGCCCATGAGTTCATCCAAAACCCTGGGGAACTGAGAGGCCACTGTCAGAGCTGAACATCCCTCATAGTCTAGCCTCTAGACTTCAAACTGAAAATACATGCCCAGAGAAACCTCACCTTCTTGCCATCCTCACGGTCTAGGTGCAGAAAGTAGGTGGGGTACATGCCCCGGTCCATCCCCTTCTTGTCCCGAGTGATGCGGCATTTGATGGTGATCCCTTGTGGGGCAGGCCTCAGAGCAAACTCCTCTAGATCCTGGACTTCAATATCTACTGGTGGCTCTGGGGCTGCTGGGCTGGGGGCTGAGGCTGCCTCCTATGGAGAAGAGAGTAGAAGTCTAAAGCAAAAGGCTCTTCACTTCAGATTGGTGGTCTTGGTGGTCTAGGATAAGAGTCTGCCTCCTGACTCAGTGAGGGAAGGAGAGGTAGGTCAAGATCCCTGGAATGTGGATGTGGCCACTGTGTGCACCCCAGGGTCAGGAGCTATCTTCTAGCCCCTCCCTTTCCTCAGTGGTTCCCGGAGTTGGAGACGGGGATAATTGCAGGTTCTCAGGAGGTCATCCTGTCCAAGTCCAGCTCTCCCTGCATCCTAGCCCTTTGACCTTGCTGAAGAGTCACACAGTGGAGAAGCAGAAGGGCTGAGCTGGAGAAACTTCATACAGACACCTAACCCAAGGAAAGCCAGCACCTAATGTTATCTCATGTTCTGGCTATCAACTTGATATAGCACAGAGTCAAGGGCGTGAAGAAGGTTGTGCTTGCCCAGACCAAAATGACCTCTGGCCATGTCATTTTGGATGGTCTTGATGTGAGGGCCTGGCCCACTGTGGGTGACACTATCCATCGGCAGGTGGGCTCAGGCTGTATAAGAAAGCTAACTGAGCATGAACCTGAAGAAAGTGCGCATGTGCACGAAGTGAGTGAGTCTGCAAGCAGTGTTCCCCCATAGCTTCTGCCTGGGGTCCCTCAATGATGGATTGTGATCACTGTGATGATGATGGCTGTGACAATGGAAGCCAAATAAACCCTTTCCTCTCCAAGATGCTTCTGGTCAGTGTTTTTATCACTAGAACACTACCTCTAGGCAGACCTAACCCCTGATGTCAACCTCCTACCAGGGATAGAGGCTGCTCCTCTTCACTCACCCTGATGGACTTTCTGCTAGTGGCAGAACTAGGGCGGGTGTTGCTGTTTAGCTGGGAGGAGCTAGAGCTGTTTTCATCCTCATCCTCTTCCTCATCAAAGCTCATGCTGCTGGAGATGCCTATGGTGAACAGGACATGGAGGAATGAGCAAGCAGACAAGTTTTATAGTGAGAATACAGGTGGTCACATGGAGATGCACATTCAGATTCTGACTCGCCTACTCCCAGGCACTCATACAGCCATCTGCACACGCCCTCACGTTGCTGTACGTACTCCCACTCATCCAGACACATACAAGAACACATGTCCTCTTTGGTGCATGTGCACACATGAACTGGGGCTCATCACGATTCTCTTTGGGATGTATCCCCACCACCCAATTTTAGCTCAGTCCCTACATCACATCTCTTCCTCACTATCAGTTACATCATCCCTATCGCTTGTGTATCAAGGTCTGAACTGAGCTGAACCTGCACAGAGAACCTCCTCCTCTGACTAGAGGCCATGGGTGGTATTGGCCATGGACTCTGACTTAGGTCCTCACTCAGTCTGTGGATGGGACTGGCTGCTTTTCCTAGCTTGCCCTGAACCTGTCTCAGCTGTCCTCCCTGACCCAGAGCAGCACTCTGGGTGGCCCTAAAAGCTCTTTCCCCATGAAGTAGTCTTTTAGTAGGTTCTTCATAGTGTGTGGATCTGCCAGGCTGCACCCAGGATTCCCTGGAGTTAAGGATGCCAGAGAAATTGGGAATGTGTTTCTAGGGAAGACATGCCCAGCCTCCCAGCAGCTCAGCAAATGGACAACTTCTTGTTGTCCAAACAAAAGGGAAAAGAAGTCTGCACGTAAACTTGGGCCTCACAGGAGTTACAGACAGGGATAGGCTGGTGGCTGGCTACCCCAGTTCACAATCGTTTTTATTAACTTGTCCTCATCAGGGGCCTTGACCCAAAACTTCTCAACTGATTCCAATAATGCCCCTCTGTGACATCCAGGGAGGGACTGGACCAAACACAAGAAGGCTATTTTCATAGAGAAGAGTGCATCTAACAACCTGGGACTGAGCTTTGGTCCCAGCTGGGCCCCCATGGGGCTCACCCTTCCTCTGCATCGTGGCACGGAGGTCCTGCCCGCTGGGCCGTGTGCCCCCACCGGCTGCTGTCTCCCCTGCATCCTTGGCGTGGTCTGACTGTCCCACAGTCAGGATCTGCACTGGGCCTTGGGCCTCAGACTTGTCTTCTGCCAGGGTTGCTGGCCCGCTGGTGCCTGCAGGCCAGATACTCCCGAGTTACATCCAGAGGGAGAGGAAAGCCTGGATTCTCAGGTGTCCACGAAGGGAGAGGGATGGATGACAGGACCCTCTGCAAAACCTCATTTGCAAAACTGGTTTTTAAAAAAACAACTAATGTTTACTGTCAACCTGTTAATACTCGAAAAACTGTAAAGAGATGTGGGCTTCATTTCTGCCAAGATAACTGCCAAGGGTTAGTTTGAAATACTCCACATCCTTAAGACAGACAGTGTCATCTACAGAATCAACTGCGCATTGGAAAGAACAAGACAGAAAACAAAGATCAACCCAAATCATAGCTGAGGGCAACAGTACTTCCTAGACACAGATATCTATCTACAAGCTACACATGCTGGTGTTCTCTTCACACACACACACACACACACACACACACACACACACACACACAAAATACACTCACATACATCATTAAAATAGGACCCTCTCTCAAAGGCTGTGGTTGGCACCTAGTCACAGTCCCATGCACATGGCCTCCTGTCCTAGGTACCCTGTCATTTGCTTGCAGAGCTTGCCTTCTTTGTATTTCCTGCCCAAGGAGCTGCAGCTTGAGTGACAGAAAAAGACTTGGCCCACAGGTGGCAGCTTCTCTGCCTGGCTGAGTGTTGCTCAGTGCCAGAACCAGCTCTAAAAACCCAAGGATCCTGACACCCCACTGTTCAACCATGACATGGTGACCTGGAAATCAATGATCATGAACAAGGATTGAAAAAACATAGACAGGAAACAGGACTTGGGGAAGTAGCCACCACCACTGTCATTGATCTCTAGGAATCTGTTAGATTGAGGGGCAGAGGGAACAAACTGGTCTGTGGGTCAGGCCTGGCTTGGGGCTGGGCGAGGGAGCTCAGGCTGAGGTAAACTGGGTGGAAGGGGGTGGTCCTGAGCCACAGTCAAGCTGTACTTCACTTCCTGGCCGACTGACAAGGTCTTCCACGCCCACAACCTAGCCAAGGTACTCATGAGCTAGACAAGGCCTACTGATGGCCACCCTGAGCACACCTGAGTTCAGTCAATGAGAAGCTCATATTGTACCACCTAAATAAAGTCAGGAGGATAAGCTCCACCCCCACAGGAGGTCTGAGGAGAAGGCAGGCTTACCTTTGTGCTTTCCTTTCTTCTCCTTCCTAGGGGCCCCACCCTGGCCCCCCGATGCAGCTGCTGCCTTGGTTTTCTTGGCTGAGGCTGGTGCTGGTGGACGGGTGGCTCCCAGCTGCACACTGGCAAGTGAGTCGGCCTCTTGAACTGCTCAGAAGACAGACAAATGGGTATGGGGTGAGATCAGCGCTCCCACTTAATCACAGTTCCCACCCCAGCCCTTGTGTAGTTCTTCACCCATATCATCCACCCACTCATCTCAACCAGGCAATGGTCAAGGGCAGGCCCTCAGACTACTAAGTGAAGTAGACAGCTAAGAACCAAAGTTCCAGGTCGGCCAACTATTCTAAGCCTGGGCAAGTACAGGGGGGAGTGTGGTGACAATGTGCCACAGAGGATGGGAAGGACATAAAGGCTGTATTTTCTGAACTAGATGAGAGCCAAGACAGGTACTCCAGGAAGCCCGCTGAGGTCTTGGGTGCCAAGCCCATGGGGTCCAGTGTGAGGGAGGAGGGGCTCTGTGAAACACAGCTAAGTATCAGGAAACACAGGGAAGTATCAGGAAAGGCACAGCCAGTGCCCTCCATAATCTCCACGGAGTAGGACCCTAACCTGCTCAAAATCTATAAGCAGTTTCTGAATACTCATAAGATGACAATCAATAGTCTCCACCCTGGCAGGCTCCACCCTCTCATTCCTCAACTCCAACTTATACTCTTCCACCAAGCATGCATCTAGCTATACCAGGCTGGTTTGGTGCCTTGCAGGAATCACACTCCTTTTAGGTTATGGTGTCGTTGTCTGCATTCTTCTTCCAATATGATTAATTCCTACTTCTGATTTCCTGGAAGTTCCAGAGAAGCTGTCTGCTACTGCCCAATGAGAGCCTGTCATCTCCTCACACAGCCTGGCTTCTTCCCACCAAAAACACTGCAAACACCTGCTAAAACTCTCTCCCCACCTAGACTGGAAGCGCCAGGGAAACAGAAACCACACCTGTCTGCTCACTCCGTACCCACAGTCACTAGTGCACATCCATTCACTGAATATTTAGGAGTTCATGGGTGTGTATCATGAATGAGCTTGGCAACAGGTCAAACACTTCCACTGGGAGGGTCAGTTCTGATGTCTCTTACCACCTCTGGGAGTGTGCACCTGCATTAACACCAACAGCCAGCAGGGGACAGGGCATGAGGTAGTTAAAGCTAGGGATGATAGTGGGCAGGCTCAGAAGTGTGGGTGTTGGTCAAACAGCAGGTGTGCAGCAGCCTTTCTTGGCTTTGTCCACCACTCACAGCTGGACAAAGACTGTGGGCCCCAGAGAAGCATCAGGAACCTCACACATATCCAGTGTACCCCACAGGGAAGGGCCCTAAAAGCCTCACCTATTCTGATCTCAGTGGGGAACAGCAATCATCTGAGTTTGGGTCCTGGAACGCACTGTGGTTTCTTCCAAGCTCTAAAGCCAATTCCTCCTTTTTATAAGTGAAGCAAAAAGGACAAGAGAGAACAAGCGACTTGCCACATCCATGAGCAAATCTTGCCATGGTAAAGGCAGTGGCATAGGAGCCAGGCTGCACAGGATCAAAACCAGTGGCTGCCATAGAAAATCGGGTACCTAATGTGATCCTCAGCACTGGCAAATACCCTGAGACAGCCTTTGTCAGCAGGAAGGAAGTGGATTTCCTCAGTGGGTATGTGCATGCATGGAGGAACCAACCTTACAGACTTTGCCAAGCCACGGCCTATGCAACAGGTGACGCACATCTAATTCCTTCCCTTTAAAGCTTGAGCTAAGAGCAAAAGCCAGGTAGGTGCCCATGGTCTAACTCCCCATTACTACTATGCAGGAAGCATCCACCTGCAAGGCTGGCACCAGCCCAGCAGAGGGCAGTAGAGACCGGGTCTGTTTAGCTCCTATTTCCTGCTTTCTCTCTCACAAAACAAACTCTGTGGCACTGAACCCAAGCAACCTAAGCTGAAGGAAGTCCTGGACACCCAGATGCAAAAGAGCCACCACACCTGCACAGGATGGGCTCTGAGCACTGAGTGTAAGGACTGAGGGAGTCAATCCTCAGCTTGGAGTAGCGACCTACTGGTCAGAAGGCCTCTGAGGAGGCAAGAGCTCAGAGGAGGAGGCATGCTCCCAGCCCAAGTAAGGCAGGAAGCTGGGATTGGTCACAAGAGAGAATGCTGGTGGGTGCTGGATCTCAGGGACATCCTTCAGATCAGAAACCTGGACCTTGGAACTCCCCGATCCATCAAGTTTAAGCCTTTTGGCCTCAAAATCTGACACAGGAGGTGACTGTCTGGACATAAACAGGAGCCCAAGGCTGTCTGTCTGCCTGCTTCATTCAGCTGTCCACCTGAGCCAGACACAACGCTCAGCCTCCGAAAACCCTACAGGATGAGTCCCGTAGGCCCCCACAACCCCCTACCACCACTGATCCCCAGGGTGTGGTACCCCCAGCACAGGGGATTTCCTAGATCAGCTGTCCCTGGGGCAGAGGCAGGGTGTACCTTGGTAGCTGGTGCTGCCACTGCTGCTGAGGTAGGACTCCACCAGGGGGGCTTGCTCCTCTGACTGCCGGGCCCTTCGGCTCCGGGGGCGCCCATCTGCATTGGCCTGCACCATCAGGGGCTCCTGGCGCTTCTTCTTCTGCTTCTGCTCCAACAGGGCCCGCTACAGAGGCACAGGGCAGGCACAGAGGTAGACTGGCCCACCACCTCCTCCAGGAGGAAGGGGTTCCCACAGTGGGGTCAAAAGGAGCACCCTGATCTCTGGGCTAGTTTCCAGAAGTTGTACTGGGGTCTCTAGCCTTCTCTGGGTAAGGACAAATGTTGTTGGCATCTGGTGACTAGCTGCCAGCCTGGCAGAAGAGGCGAGGACTGGGGAAGGGTTAAAATAATAAAACAGAGCTGATAAAGGAGGAGTTCAGCTCTCTGCCCATTTAACAGGGTCATCCAAAGAAGAGGGACTCATCGCTCCTAGACACCCCTGCCGAGGCTCTGTCTGCCCACCAGCCCAGCCTCACTTACCTGCCGGTCAAGCTTCTGCTGCCTCAGGTTGCTGCCCTCATCATCTAGGACACTGCAGAGGGAGAGAAAGGTATTCAGGGCTGCCCAGTGAGGTTCCAGGAGGTGGCCCAGACCCCACCCCCATCTTTTAAACTCCTATCCTGGTTCCCAGTGAGTCCACGTGGTGGAGGAAGAAAGAATGGTGGCTGCCAGCTAGGAGCTAATTCAAGACGAGAAGGCAAAGACCCTGGATCTGATGCCCAGTGCAAACAAAGCAAAGCCTTCAAGACTGGGTGTGGTGGATCATGCCTGTAATCCCAGCACTAGGGAGATTTACACAGGAGGACAGGGGTTCAAGGTCAGCTTGGAGACCCTGTCTTGAAAAATCAGAAAACAAAGGGCCAAGGCATATTTCTGCCATGTTGGTAGCTGATCCTCCTTCATTGCCTGAAAGACTTCTAAGCTAGCCTGGCTCTGGTAAAAACAGGAAAGACCTTCAGATGCCTGAGTAGGGCCAAGCCTGACAGAAAACGGGAGGACCCTGAGCTGTGGCCTCAGTCGTTAGCCAAACCCAAGAATGCTGTCCCACGGTGTGCCAGGACTTGTTTCCTTACCATCTTCTCATCTGCTTCTTCCCATCCTTTTCGGAAAGAGCTGGGTCCTCTGAGGCAGACCACCTCTCGACCCTAAATTCCTGGCTCCCAGGCAGGAATAGGGAATGTACTGACACAGCCCTGCTCCCCTAAAGAGGGCATAGTGTCCTCCTTTGAAAGAGGCTAAAATGTCAACTCGTTTCCCCAGGACAAGACCATGGCTAGGTAAGACTAAATGCATGAAGCCACAACTAGCTAAGGCACAGCCCAGCAAATGGTCTTTAACCCTTCCCTGGCCATGGACACACGGCTAGGTAGTACCAAGGGCATCTGATCCTTGAGTCCCACCAGTCTTAGGTCAGACAGTTTCTTCTCACAGATTGTTCCTGCAGAATATGAACAGGGAGCTGTTGTAAATAGTCTTTTTATTCACTGTGAAGATGTGTTGCTCTCACTGGCTTTAATAAGGAGCGAAATGGCCAATACCTACACAGGAAGAGATTAGGTGGAACTTGCAGACAGGGAAGAGTTCTAGGATGAGGAAGAGCAGAGGCACCCGAAGACACAGGGAGGAGCAAGATGAACACACACACCATGTGGTAGAGTACAGATAGGAAACATGGGCTAATTTAAGTTGTAAGAGCTAGTTAGTAACTGGTCTAAGCTATCAGCTGAGAATTTATAATTAATAATAAGTCTGCCTAGTTATTTGGTAGCTGGCTTGTGGGAAAGAAAATTCTGCCTACAGTGAACTAGTTATTTAAACCATTTAGCTTTCCTGTTAGATCGAGAGGCAGGCTTGATCATCTAAAGGTTAGTACAGTGTGTGTGGACAGGAAAAGACAAGGTCAAAAGTCACTCTGAAACTGAGGTGAGGTCATGCTTTCCTTCTGACAGCTGAACTTATACATCTCTTCAACTACTTATAGAGCTAGTCACCCATCACTACTCACCTCCCTGGCCACCTATGACTACTATGCCCTCTTTTAACTGACAGCTGTCCTAACTACTTGACAGGAGAAGGGGAGACCTTCTCTTGGTACCCTTGGGTTGATCTGCACATCAGGGGAGCCCCAACTGTTTGTAGGGCTGTGTACAAAATGTCCTCATTTACCAAACCCTCAGCTGCTGGAACACAGGAAAAAACACATCTCAAAGGCAAGGATCTAAGCTTCAGTCTTCCCAAGATAGCCCACCTGCCCAAGAGCACCTGTGTCTGGAGCTCCCAGACACATTACCAGGACCCAAGGCCTCAGCAAGCTGCCTAAAACTTCAGTCTGGATGAGCTGGTGAATATCTTGTCACGAAAAGCAGGCTGACACTGTGGGGCACCAGAAACCAGAGCACAGATGTCAGGTAATCAAGACACCAAGGGCCTTGAAAGGCTAGAGAGGCCACAGCTTCCCATCACCTCTACTTACACGGATGTGACACAAGAGCAGAGCATTCCCTGCCATCGATGTCCAAGCCTCATTGTCCACCAAGGTCCACACTCACTGCTTTTAGAACTTGGGTCAGAAATTCAGTAAGGGCTCTATCCAGTGATACCTGCTTTTTAAAAGGGCATGCTCTGGTTGGGCCCAACAACCTGTGATCCTGACACTGGTGTACTTGTGTCTGGACTCAGAAGTTTCTGTGTGATCTCTGTAAGTCAGTATTGGCTTCCTCTGTGCCAGCAGGAGAGGATATTTACCACTTACTGGGCTGTCACTGGCTACATTTTTTCAGAGGGCCGTGCTGGGGCAGGGGCAGGGCCCAGGTCATTACCTGGGTCATCCCAGGTACTGGTCTGGGCTAAGCAGGACAAAGAATATGCTTTCCTTGGTGCCAAAAGAAATTTCTAGAAACAACTAGAAAAGGTAAGGTGTGCATCAGCAAAGCCATCTGCAGAGAGGCTCCAAGACACACAGGGAGGTGCTTTCCTGTCAAAGAAACTGTCACACTGCCCTGGACCTTCCATGCAGTTGTGTCTGGGGTCAAAAACTATTTTCCATGAGCACAGTATTTCCTCTTTGGGAAGATGGACAAACAGCCACAGAACCATTGTAGTACCATTGATTACCAGATAAGATACAGGTAGTGGTAAACCAGCAGGCCTCCATCTTAGGCTTGTAAGCCATCTTATGGGTTTATGATTAAATCTGCTCCACCTATAATCTTAACTACAAATAGTCCTGTACTGCCTGTTCCAGGAAATGGCAACCATGCCTTTGCTTAGAAGGTTGTTATGACCAGCTTGTCATGCTTGTGTTCTGCTTCTGTGGTCCTCCGTCAGACCTTGTTTGCCTGCCAAATACCCCCTTTTGGAAACCCCCTACTCCTAAGCTATAAAACCTTATCTTCTCCACATCTAATGCTGATCTCTTGAACCCCACCTTAGGGAGAGATAGCTCTAATTAATTTGGCCATGATTTGGGTCGGTGGTCTTTCTCCTCAAATCTGTGGGATTAACAGTGGCAGGAACTTAACTATGTCCTTCAGGGAAGGATGAACACCAGGGCACAGTCTCTGAGAGATTCTAGAAGCCACAGATACATCAGCAGAGTCCAGGGAGCCACCCACCACCTCACTCAGCATCTGGAATGGTGCATGGCAGCATAACAGGTGCTGTTGGAAATGACCCCCTTGAGGCTCAGCAAAATGCACACAAGAGGCCCTATAATAACCCACCACCCACATAACACAAAAAGAAAGCCGGGTTTCTAGAGAGCGGCAAGAATGCTAGGTGGGGCAGTGACAAGCTTGTACTGGGTGGGGGGTGGTATTCTAGTAAGGACAGTGCATCTGGGCAAAGACAAGCTCCCTGGTGAATAACAAAAGAATCCCCAGTACAGCAGCTTGTGCTGAAACAGTGACAATAATGATGGCTGTCCCCAGGGGGAACAGAACCAAAGCGTCTTCCCTGCCCCCAAGCGGCCAGCCCTGCCTCTTCAGCTCCACTGCAGCACCATTCCTGGGGTGTCTGTCTTTCCTACAACACCTCCCTGGCCTGCCTCTCTGATGGGCATCGTTCTAGGCTGCACTAAATGATAACCATGCAAGGAGACATTAATGGCTTTTTAATGACTCTGGTTCCAAATATGGAATCACTGCCAAGCCCAGGCTGCCAGCTGCAGCCCCGCCAGGAGGCTCAGACAGACAGGGCACTGATGGATGGGTCTTCCAGCTGACCCTGGCGGCTCCTTCATTATGATCACCTCCTACTGGGAGCCAGACCTAGAAGGCCAAGGAATGTTCAAGTAACTGGCTCCAGTTTGCAGTATTCCCCAATTTGGCTGCTCGATCCAGGGTCAAAAAGGTGGCAACTTCAACTCCCATGGAGCCAGGTTATCTACAGCCACTCACTCCCCTGGAGGGACCAGACAGGTCTAGGGACTTGTGCTGTGGGCTGGAAAAGGCCAGTATTATTAGGAAACCTGTTTCTACCCTTCTCTTCCTACATTACGCTTTGTAAACTCTGGCTGATTCACCATTACTACCAGACAACACAGAGATAGACTCAGCCATCTGAATGCCCCATCCAAGCCCACATTGCAGTCTGACCCATTTTTCCTACCTCATTCCTTCCCTCAGCCATAGCAGAAGCTGCTCTGAACCTAAGAATCAGAGCAATAAGCTATAAGAAAGGACAAGCCACCCAGAATGTCTGGCTGCAACCTGAACCAAACAGAAGAATGAGGGAAGCCCATGCCCATGGCTCCCACTGCCTAGCAGCTGCTCGGCACACAGTTGGAAATGGGGACAGTTCTGCCTCTGAGGATGGGCCATCTCCTTCCTGCCAGGGGTTCCTAAACATACTGAGTGAATTAAAGCTGCTGGTGGCACTGGCATTGGCTTGGTAATTCAGAGCTACTGGGGTACATGCTCCAGAATCAAGTTTGTTGTACCATGTGGTTCTCTAATAATCAGCCATGCAAATGACTCTTGCGACCACAGCTGGTGATCTTCAAAGAGTAAAAAAACTGAAGTTTCCAGAAGGAATTATCTAAGGTTATCAAAACAAGGCACCTGAGGCTAAACCTGGCAGCAGAACTGGAGGTATGTGTGTGTGTGAGGGATGGCAGTATGTGTGGAGTGTCTAATAAGAGCCAAAAGGCAGGAAAACCAGAGTCTTGCTTAGAATCAACCCAAGGAAACCTTTCCAGTCACAGCTGGCTGGTGGAAGATGTTTGGTAGGAAGGCTACATAGCAGAACAAAGAAATAGTGAGAGGGCCTATGTAGACCCTTGCAGTCTGAGATTCTCTATGGCCTGGAGCTGTTCTTACAAAGGGATTCTGGAGGCTTTGGGTGAAAGAGAGCACATCAGGTGTGCTGAGAACCCAGGAATGGGACCAGGAAGTCAAGGAAACCCAAAATGTTGTCTGGAGTGTGACATCACTTTGATTTACAGAGGTAGCATTTTATCTCTACTGGGCAATGCTGAAGACTCAGCTAGACATCACACAAGGTCACTGCTCTCAAAGAGTTAATGATTTGGTGAAGGAAGCCCTGAGTACTGCAGGCAAGAACACTGAAGGTGAGTGTAAATAGATGGCTCAGCAGGTAAAAATGCTTACTACCCTTGCAGAAGACCTGAGTTCAGTTCCCAGCACCCACATGGCAATTTACAACTGCCTGAAACTCCAGTTCTACGGGATATGATGCCCTCTACTGGCTTCCACTAGTGCCTGCATGCCCAAGGTACACATAGACTCACACAGGTACACACAAACACACACACATAAAAATAATAAGCAAATTAAAAAAAGTACTGGAGACAATATGCCTGGAGCCACAGTCCTTCCTCAGAGCTCTACCCACCTACAACTTATAATAGGTATAATAGTCATACACTACAGGCATCTAATAATCTTCAAAAATACTGGTAAGGAGAAATGGGCAGAATTGGAAACTACTAGTAATGGGAAACAAAAGGCAAAACATGATTCTAGTTGTTGATCTTTATACATGAAATGGCTCCCTTTTTAAGTCAGAATGTGAGCTTAATCCATGATCATTAGACAGTGAGCCAAAATTACCCCTAAGAAGATTAGCACCAACTATCACTGCTTTGAAGAAAATGAGCCGAGCCCAGGGAATGCAGGATGCAACCGCCAGAGAGAGAAAGAGCTAACTCATCAGTCTCTCTCCCCCATATGCCATATTCCAGTCTGTCGTGCTGTGGCACTAGGAAAACCTCATGTTAGTCAAAGCACGTGTACACATGCTGCCCCCCCCCCACCCTTGCTCGGCTGCGAAGAAGCATGCCTTGTCTTCTGTCCCAGTTTTCTGCCATCAGGCAGACCTGTGGCTTTGCCTGCAATCAGCAGCCTAGTAATGCTAAGGGCCATTTGAATCTCCTCTCAACACAGGTCTCCCCTACTGGGAAGGCTACTTAAGTCCAGGGCTTTCCCAGGCTCTGCACATGCTCAGAGAGACTGGCCAGGGCAGGGGATGATCCTTCTGATGATAGCCCACCTCCAGCTGAATACCTACCCTCCCTACTCTACAGAACAGGGAGACAGATGACAGCAATGGAGAAAGGAAGCAGGGTGGGCCTCCAGGGTGCCAAGCTGCTTCCATGGCTAGGTTTTCAGGGTGGTAGGATTGGGTGCTTTCAGCTGAGTGTGGGAGGGAAAACGGGACAAGGGAGTTAGGCATGGGCTGGGTTGAATGTCAATCACCTATTTCAGGATACCAATGCCCTGGGCACTTGCAACAGATTTCTCAGAGACAATCCTACCTCCCAGAGGTCAGTCTCTTTTCCCAGTAGCAGGCTGAAGCCTCCCTAGCTGGAGGTAGATTTTTTTCTATAAGCTTTGCAAGTTGTTTTAGTCCTTGGGTCCCTGGGAGAATCAGCGTTGAACCATGACCAGCCTAGCCTTCCATTTGTCAATTCTCAAACATGCTGTTATCCCCATAATCACAGTGTAGCCTGTGGATGGCCAGTGAGACTGAGGTACAGGCTCACATGTCTGCAGGCGATAATGTGTATGACTCTCTGAGCACATGTGTCTCTGTGTGTGTTGCTGCAAAGACAGAAAATAACTCTGGAAGCTCCATGGAAGCTAGGCTCAGAGACAGTAATAATTCTCAAGAAAATCCCTGAGTTCCCAGGCCCATGACAGGTGCCTGTTGGTAGAAAGACCAACAGCTTTTAACTAGCTTCAGGCAGTTCCAGCTGGTTTCTATTTGGGATTCTATCTGGACAGACTCCTAGAATGGCTGTCAGAATCACTTCCTGTCAGCAACCAGGCTCTGCATCCTTGCCTAGGGCCTGCACGTGGGCGTGGGTCCTGAGTGTCTGATTCTGCAACCCACTGAATGTGCACCTGGGTCAGCAATAAAAAGTGGGTCTTGGCAGTCCAGCACCCTTTTTACACACATGCCTCTCCAGGAGGCTTAGGGAGCCTGGTAGCCCATGGCAACTAGAGAGCCAATGAGTGGTCATGGATGTGGCGCTGCTATGGCAATGAGCTCTTTTCCCTGGTAATAGAATTGAGTAGAGTGGATGGAGAAAGGCCTGCACCTGTGTGAGGCTGGAGACCACCCCTCCCCCACCTCCCACTCAAGAAAACCCCCACCTCCCACACAAGAAAAGCTGGGTCAGACCAACCAAGTATCCAGGAACAGGAGGTGGGTCAGGGCTCTTGAGTGCATGTGAGCGTGTGAGAGCAATTTTCTGTATTGTGAGCCAGTAGTTACAAGTGGGTAACTACTACTGAATCTCTGAAAGGTACTGAATAGTACTTGTGAATAGGTAGTACAGTGTATTCCTATACAGATGTGAATATGCACAGATTTTTAAGTATGCACCCGGATGGCCCAAGAATTAAGGTTTACAGAGATATACGGGTACATGTATATGTAAGCTGCCCTATTGGTCTGAGCTCTAACCATTTCACAAATGCACGCTTTGGAGATAAGAACTTAACAGTATGGAAATCTTTGGCCCAGCGCGCAAATGCCCTCCGTGTGTATGCAAGCGTGAAGATGCAGGGGTGTGTGCGCACAAGCTATCCAGGCACGCATGTCCTGGGTGCTGGGCCTAGAAGGCAGCTCACAGCAGTTCCTTTCTCCATGTGCCACCAGACTCAACAAAGCCAGACAGAGATCCTTTCAAAACCCTTGATGTTGAGTTGGGTGGGGCAGGGCAGTGGCTTCGAGGCCCTCAAAGTTGGGATGAAAAACCTTGGTACCTCCAACCGCGCCTCTGGTGTTGGAAAGGATGCGGAGGGCATCAGATCCTGCCTCCAGGCCAGATGACCGGACTGACGCTGTATCCCGATTCAGGAGGTGGTGTATGCCATGGCAGCAAGCTCCCGCCCTCCCCACACCCTCAGCGTTAGAGTAGGGGTTCGCACGCGCGCGCCCCGGGGCCGGGGAAGCCCGGCCCGCGTACCTGTAGGGAATCCAGTCGGAATGCGGCTTGGAAGTCATGTCTCTCGGGGGCGGGGCGGCGGCTTCGGCTGAAGCCGGGACCGCTCGGGGCTGACGCGGGGACCCTGCTCAGCACTCGGGCCGCCCCGGGCCGCATCCTCCCGGGCCCCGCCGCTGGGCCCCGCCGAGGCCCTCTCTGCACGCCAGGGCCCCGGCCGCGAGCTCTCAGAGCGGCTTGCCTGTGCGTCGCGGCGGGGAGGGAGAAGCGGCTGGAGTGCGCGGGGCCGCGGGAGCGCGCGGGCTGGAGCGCGCCCGAGGCGGGAGAGGTAGTCCGCACCGCAGGGCGCCCGGGGCTGAGCTCTGCGTGGCAGCCGCCGCCCCGCCCCTGGTCCCGCCCCAGAGGAGACCCCACCCCGACCCGTTGGATGCTGATCGCGCGGCGCCCACCCTCTGCCGAGAGGAGTTGTCAACTAGCCCGATTCTCCCTCTAGGACCTCAGCTATCTCAGATTTATCGGGGACAGAGCAGAGTAGGGGGACTCCAGTTAGAGCTGTTAGAGAACCTCTGGGCTGAGTACCAAGGCCTGCTTCTTTCTCAACCTTCCATTTCACGTGTCTGCCTCCAGAATCTTCTCATCTTTAGTTTTAGTAGAAGTGTTTCCTCAGCCAGGCTCCTTCTTTTGGACCTGACATTTCCTGTCTTTGTTTCCAAGACCAAGGGGAAGGGTATGTTAACTGTTGTACTCCGGGCCCTTAGAAATTTGGAGCATTAGTGGGCACAATAGCTTTGAGAAGCAAATATTATATCCCTATTTCCCAGAAAATGAAGTCTGAGGAATGCTAACCGGCCAAAGGGAAAGTGTTAGAGCTGAAATCGAACCTTCAGAGGCCTTTTAGAGGACAAGATCCTCTTAACCTTGAATGCTGATGAGGTCCTGGCTGTGACCAGGACCCATAGTTAATAACACACAGGAGAAGGAAGGGTGAAAAATCCATAGCAGGGCTAGTTGGAAGCAGGAGAGAAGCCAGGTGCTCAGCGATGCATCAGGCTTTCTGAAAGGCTAGCCTGAACCCTGTAGAAGGGATCCTCAAGTGTAACTTGGGCTCAACCACCCACATGGTCTGGCAGAACTGGGAAGTGTTTGGGAATGACTCCCATGCTTAGGGTGGGTCCCATCTTACTGCCCTGGGGAGAAACCAACGTCCACACCTGGGGCTTCTTTCAACTTCTCAGCCTTGACTGCCCCATAAACTACAACACAATGATGACGATCAATGGACTGCTTGATGAGCTGTCAGGAGTTTGAAGCTTTGTTAGGAGAGATCTGTATAACTTCATTAATCCTTACCACCACTCTGCGAAATGTATTAATATTGTACATGATTTTTTTCAACACAGGAAACTGAGGCACATGCTCAAGGTCCTTGGTGAAGCCAGCATTCACAAACCAGCTCTCAGGCTATGTTCTTCACCCTCTGCTTCTTAATAGTACATGTAGTGCATGTGTGTACACTCCCAAGCCCCTCTCTGACTAGGGAGGAATCTTAGCTCCCTAAACACTGTGATCTTTGAATGGTTGTCAACCTCTTAAGGGAAATTACTGTCACCATAGACCTCAGGAAAAAGGGGAAATCACCTGAGAATAGGGTGTAGTGCCTTGCCTTCAGGTCTCCTACCTGTTCTCCACACAGCCTCCCAGAAAGGGCAGTAGAGAGGGGCTGGTTGGTTCCCCCTCCCCTGACAGCTCATAGCATAACAGCAATGCAACTCCCCCCAAGAGGCTTCTGTTCTTTGGGCTAGAACCAGGCCTAATAGTTGTGCAAGAGGCATTGACCCCTGAACTCCCTGTTGTCCATGCCATCTCTGCCAGAGTTATAATTTGCTGTCTATCTTTTTAGAATGACAAGTGTCTGGAAGACTTTCCTGTCATGACTTTGAGGCTGCATTTTCCCCTTTCTTCCCAAATTATCTGACACCTAATGCAATCAGAACTAAGTTGGAAGGTCTCGGGAGCCTGGAGTAATTGAATCTATTAAGCAGACTCTTCAGGCTCTGTCCTAAGGGAGCAAAATCTGGAGGTAGAGTGAGGTGCAGAAATAAGACAGTTTCAGTGGCTTCTCTTTCTGCAGGAGCCATGGACACACATGGGATTCAGAAGGACCAGGAAGACTGCCAGTACACACATGAGTGTGTGTGTATACCTAAGAATATGTATGTACATAAAATGTGGATCAAGAGCATGTGTGCATGCATGAGGGTGTGTGTGCACGTGTGTGAACATGTGAGTACATGTGCACATTGTATATGGGGAAGCTAAGGATGTGTGTGTGTGTGTGTGTGTGTGTGTGATGTTCAAGAGAAAGGGGAATCATGTGCCTCTGCATAAGTAAGTATGTGAGAAGTATGGAGACAGTCTGGGGATGGGGTGAGAGAGAGAGAGAGAGAGAGAGAGAGAGAGAGAGAGAGAGAGAGAGAGAACTGTGTGAGCCCCTCTATAGACAGTGCAGGTTTACACAAGAACATTGATGTTTGTTTGTTTGTTTGTTTTGTGGTAGGAGAGGAAGATGTGGGTGTTCTGCAAGGTTTGTAGTGTTAACACTTAACTCACAACTCATGGAGGGTTTTCCCACTTGAGAGGCATCCCTAGTTCACTTTTTAAGTTAACCCTGGTGGCCCCATCAAAAAGCCACTCTAGAAAGCCACATAGAGAATTTTATACGAGGCCATGAAGCACTTCTACACAACAAACCCAACATACCTTCCTCACCACTGGTCTAAATACTGTAAGGTTGGGATATGGGCTAGAAATTTAAACTCTCTTCATTATACTTTAGGCCATTTTTAAAAGCAAACTAGAGACAGTGTGTGAGGGGGCATGCCATCTAAGCTTGAGGATCCTAGAGTCAGTTTTTCTCCACACATCAGTTCACCTAGAGAAGGTTTGCATTCCGGCACTGTTACTGCCATGTAGAATTTTACATCTTCTATGCTTAGGGCAAGTATATTGAATGAGGCTATCTTTTTCAATTTTGGAGGGAAAGGAGTATGACTAATAAATGAGTGTGTATGTAGATTGGGCCCTGCCTGGTGGCTTGATATTGAGACCCTGTAGCCTGACAAAAGCGATCCAAATCAATCAGACGTCTACTAGACCTTACTGGGTCGAAGGCTGATGCAGGGTTTGGTGGCTTTGGCAGGGATAAGGGGCAAGACTGCTGTCAGGGAATTGTCATTCTTGCAGTGTAAAAAGGAAGAAATAATAACTATATCAGTAACCAAGTGCTGGGGGAGGGGAGACCAGAGGAGGAACAGCCAATGACATTGGAAGGAAAAAACATTAATAGAAAAGGGTAATGGTTGATTTTGGTCTTGAAGAATGAGGAAAAAAAATTTATAGATAGGCAAGAAAGGAAAGGGTGAAATTAATAGTTACCAAGACTCTATGAATATCAGATACTAAGCTTACTCTAAACTAGGTGTTATGGGCAAAGTCACAGACACAGAAGAGTGTGTTAGCCAGTGTGCTGGTGTGTGCCGAATGGTTTCTGGTGGCAGCAGGTAGGTCTAGAAAGTTGAGTAAAGCTGGATCATCTGCCAGGGTGTTTGGATTTTATCCTATAGCCAATAGGGAGTCACTAAAGGGCTTTAAGATGAGGATAAACTTCCCAGGAGTACCTTTATATAATTATAATTATGGACAAGATAACCACAAGGAGACAAGGCTAATAAATAGTATAGAAAACTGCTAGATGGCTAGTAGGAAAAGAGAGTAAGGGGTGAAATTAGTAGGGAGGGCAAAATGTGTATCAATACGAACAGTTCTGATTACAAGAGTAAGTATTTTCGATGAATTTAGAGTGAGAAGAAGTGGCTTATGAGATGGGATGTCCTTTTGAGCATCCCACCATGATCAAACATTTCAGGGCTTTTCAAAGCTGTGGAGTAGATGGTAGCATGTCAGTGGTCAGAAAGTACTCCATGTAAGTCCTATTTAAAGAGCCATAAAAAAAGAGCCATGAAGACTGTCAGTTCCAGTGTGGATGATGAAAGTAAAGGCAAACAGGCGTACGGCTGTCTTGATAACACGTAGGGTAGCAACTACTAGAGAAGCAGTCCACCTGTTCTCCAAAGTACTGCTGAATACAATAGCAGGTAGCCAAATAGACACAAGCGTAGTGTTCAGGCCTCTAAGTTCTGAAGGCATAAAACAAAGGCATAAAAAAAGTTATGAAATCAATGTATGATAAACAGAGAACCACTGGGCTTGGACATACAGGACTGTAATTTGCTGAGTGTGTGCTCTAAGGCAGGCACTCCTCTGTGTAGTTCATAAAGCAAATCTGGGTGGTGAGTGATGATATGGAATTCTGCTCCAGGTTCCAGCAAAGATCTGAATTAATAGACTGCACATTCAAAAGAGGAAGGCACCACACTAAGCAGGACGTGGAAGAGCCTGGATCTGTGCCATAAGCTGACACCCATCTTGGCACATATAAGAGAGGCTGCAAAGGAGGTCTGGGGAGGTTCAGAAGGGATTTTAGAAAAAGTCTTATGGCCTAGTGACTCCTAATAATTGGAAAGTATGTAGGAAGCTATTGCCTTCATCTCAAATCAGATGAGTGAGGCTTTGCAGGGACCCATAGTGGAACTTCGTGGCCACAGTGGTCTTGAGGCACAGTGGACAATAGATGCATGCCTGATAAATACACAGAGCCATTGGTGACTTGCCTCTTCTCTGATAGCAGGGAGGTTGCTGGGGACTCAGTATAGGCTTGTGCCCCAGGTTTGCAAGACCCCAGCAGGATTGCCAATTGTGACTGGCTTAGACATAGCCAAGTGGTCCCCCATTGTGGGAAGTGATGATACCAGGGAAGAAGCAAGCATGAGTTTTCTGGGGATTGGGAAAGGAAGCTGAGAAGGAGCTACTGAGAAGGAGCTATGGAGAGGGAGCATACCTACATCAAGGAATCTGCTAGAAGGACACCCAGTGATAGCATGATCTCCTGGATCCCATGATGGCACTCCAAAGAGAGAGAAGGCCAGAAAATAACAGTAGCTGCTTAGTACAGTCAGGGAAGACTCCTGACCTGCTGTCTCCTCCCATCTCTTTCCTTCCATCAAGAAACCAGGAAAGGGCTCAGATAGTTCTTCGCAAGCTGGGCTCAGATAGTTCTTCGCAAGCTCCCGCTCCTCACAGGAAGCTGTTCTGTGTTAGACTGTACTGGAAAAGAGCTGAAGTTCCAAGGATCTTTTGGGGTCTGGGGATGTAGTTCAATGGTAGAAAGTTTTCTTACCAGTCACAAGGTCCTTGGTTTGATCCCTAGCATTCCTTTCCTT